ACTAACATCTAACTTTAGTTACTTTCTATTGCTGTGATGAAACATCAAGATCAAGACAACTTACAGAAGAAAGTTTGTTTGGGCTTACAGTTTCAGAAGAATGAGAGTCCATCATGGCTGGGAGCATGGCAGCAAGTGGCAGAATCAGAAAGCTGTGAGCTTAGATCCTGTGCTGCGAGTATGAGTCAGAGGGAACACACTGAAAACAAGCAAGGCTCTTTCATCTTAAAGCCTGCCAGCAATGACACACTTCCTACCACCAAGCCTCACCTCCTAAATTTTGCCAAACAGCGCCACCAACTGGCCACCAAATGTTTAAATGCCCGAAACCATGGGGGATATTCTTATTTAAACCACCACAGTTGGACAGCACAGCAATGAAATGCTGGCCTTATATATGTAAGCTCCTGAATCCAATGCCCAGACCTGGAAAAAAATTCATAAGTCAAAAATCAATGCTATTTCGCTACTGGGAAGGCCTCACCAGCGTCCAGTGCTTCTGAGGCTAGAAAGAACTGTTCTTTCCATACTATTGCTGTCTAAATGTAAAGGGCCTGGTTCAGGGATGACACTGGAATGATGGCCCCTGGAAAGAAGAATGTGTGTAAAAGTGAGTTTCTGGGTGCCTATTAAAAGGCAATGAGCGTGGGGCCTGGTGGAAGGCCTGCCTACCTGTGACTTGTGTAGTAACTGTCCCACATTAATTCCTGCTCGCTATTCATGGTCTGGGTCTACTCAACTGGTGTAGCTCACACACTCCATTCTCTGACAGCCTTGATCCTTCATCTGCAGCCAGCCAGAGGATGGAGTTTGTTTCTTCCACTCTCAGAATTTTTATTTTTGTCGGGCAGTGGTGTCTCACGCCCTTAATACCAAAATTTCAGGAGGCAGAGGCAGGTGGATCTCTGTGAGTTCAAGGACAGTCTGGTTTACAGAGCAAGTTCTAGGACAGCCTCCAAAGCTACAGAGAAACCCTGTCTCGAAAAACAAAGCAACAAACAAAATTTTAAAAATTCTTTACCTATCATTGCCATAAATCATATATATATATATATATATATATATATATATATATATATATATATATATAGAGAGAGAGAGAGAGAGAGAGAGAGGGAGGGAGAGAGAGAGTCTTATTCTGTAGCCTAGACAAACTGGAATTCACTTCACTGTTGTAGCCCAGTGCCTGAGCCTCCTAAATGTTGAGGTTATAGGCATATGCTACCATGCTTGGCTTCATTGTATCATCAAGTTTGAAACTAATTTCTATTTTACAGCTTTGGACAAGAACTATTTCTTCCTCTGCATTATTTACTGCAGCAAATTCTAATTCTCTCACAGGCTACTGAGTCAGACCATGAGGAATCTGTCCTCATCCTGGCTGCATCTCACAACTACTGGAAGGATCACTTCATCCTACTAACACCATTTCTTCCTTTACAGAATAGGGAGACAAAATTGCCTAAGTCACGGGGTCCTGGGCTTTTAAATGAGGTAATGCATATAAAATGCTTAATAGAGTAGAGAGTTGGACACAAGGGAAAAGTTCAATCTGAAAAACTAACCAGGCAGCCGAAAACCAAAACGAGAAAAGCCTGCTATTTTCATGGAGTCTAATGACAAAATTTATTTTAAAAAAACCCTATCCAATCTTTTTCTCAAAACTATACTCTAAATCTTTAATTTGCTTTTTAACTTCCGCCGAATTGTTGAGTCTGCTTGGAAACACTGCCTTCCTCACAGTGCTGTGACCTTGGTGTGAGGTCATGGCATGATGTCACAATCCATCCCCTGCTCCAAGTTTGAGACTCTCTTGAGCGGATTCTTGAACCCCTTTGTTCTTTACATCTGAGAGATCTTGAGGTATTTGGTCTCATTGGAGGTTCTCCTTCACCCTTTTGCATCTTTAAAGGGGTATGTGTCTCATCTGGTATCTACTCCAGGGGATTTCACTTGAATAAGACCTTCAGAGTCCTGCATGCTTGGGCTAGAGTCCCAGATCTGTAATCTACTTTTGGAGGGGGTGGATACAGAATGAGAACATAGGAACTTATTAGATCATTAGAACCACATTAGCTTGATGGTCCCCGGGAGTAGAACAACATTTCTGTGTTCTGTTTAAATGTCAGGAACAATGCTATGTAAGTCCCTTCCTGTTTAACTGAGATATAATTCACCTGTACTAAAAATAAACCGTGTGTGTGTGTGTGTGTGTGTGTGTGTGTGTGTGTGTGTGTGTATACACACACAATCAGCAGTTTTTAATACATCTACTAAGTTGTGCAATGGTCATTGCTAATTCTCCATTGTTCTCATCCTCAAAACATACCCATTAATAGTTATATCTCAGACCCGCTAGCTAACCACTGACCTACTTGCTACCATTGCTTTCTGTGGACTTTTCATGTAAGGGGGCAAATATAAAATGTGGCCTTTTATATCTGACTTCTTTCACTTGGCTTAGTGTTTCCTAGGTTCATCCATGTTAGAGCATGTATCAGTATATTATTTTTAATTGCTGAATAATATTCCATTGTTGGATATACCACATTCTGTTTATTTATTGATGGAGTTTTGGACTTGTTGTTTATGTGAACATTTATGACCAAGTATTTATGCAAATATAGTTGGTTTTATTTTTCTTAGTTCTCCTTAGTACCTAGGAGTAGAATTGCTGAGTATTTCTGTAATCCTACATTTAACTTTCCTGAGGGCCCTCCAAACTTCCCTATAGGGCCTGTATTATCTTTCATTTCAATCATCAGTGTGTGAAAGTTCCTGTTTATTTATCTAGTCATCATCAGTTCTTTTTATTTTCTGTGGTCCCACTATGTTTGACTGTTTCCTCATTTGGCCCAAGCTGGCCTAGGACACTCAAAGATGTGTACTCAGGCTCACAAGAGCTATGTACTTTAGGTGATACATCTTTACTAGATGCATAATTTGAAAATATCTTCTATATTGTGGGCTGTCTTTTCACTTCCTTACTAGCATTCATTAAAGCACAAATGTTTCTAATTTTGATAAATCTAATTTCTCTCTCTCTCTCTCTCTCTCTCTCTCTCTCTCTCACACACACACACACACACACACACACACACACACTTCTTTGAGTTCCTGAAAACCCCCTCCCTCCTGTTTTCTTCCTAGAGTGTTATAGTTTTGCTTCTCACATTTAAATCTTCGATCCATTTTAATGTTTGCATTATGCTATAAGGTAGGAAGTGTGTATTTTAAAACTCAATAATCATTTGGCTTTTAGTAACTTATTGTACTTGAGTCTCAATTTCCTTTATGATATAAGACTAGCAAACAGAACCCAAACCATAAAGTTTGGTAAAGAGCAGGAAAATGTGCATATAGTTTGAAGCCTGTATATGCTCAACAAACGCGGTAGTAACTATTATCCTATGCCCAGGGAGTTAATGCATTCTCAGATGAGAAGATGGATGCAGCCATTCACCTCAAGGGCAGGTGTGGGATTGATGAGGGAATCTCTGCCCCTGGGTAGATCGTTATTTCGGGTTCATGTTTGGCTCACGAATTCGTGGGTCAGAAACTTCATTTATACCAAAGAGTGCTTTTCAACTTGAGGGTACGGTCGGTGGCGGCACCTGCAGCTCTGTCCACGGCCTGTGGAGGGCGCTCAGGAGCCAGCGGCGCTCACGGCGGCTGCGCAGAGCCCTCCCCACGCCGGCATCCGCCCCTCTCAGCTGACAGCTCTGGAGACGGAAGAGGCGGTGCTCAGGTGGAGCCGGCTGTCTCCTGGCCTGGCCGCGAGCGTGTCGCTGGGCCCCTGGCGAGGGCGTAGCGCGGAACTTTCGGGCCGGGCTCGGCGGGGCGGCCGGAAGGTACGGCGGGGGCGCGCTGTGAATGCGCGAGGCAGAGCCGGGTGGCCGGGCCTGCTCTGTGGACACCGGGCTCCCCTGCCCGGGACGGGGCGGCCGGCTCCGTGGGCGCCAAGGGGACAGGGCGGGGCGGAGGGCCCTGCGCCTCGGGCAAGCCCCAGGGCCGGCTCCTCTGCGCCGTTGCCAGAGCTGGGCCTGTGGCCCCGCCTGATCCTGCCCTGGGTTGCTGGGGAGTCACACAAACATGTCTGCATGGAGATTGGCAGGTGGCGGAGACCGACCCGGGCTGACCCCTGGGCCGGAGCCTGCAGGGAGTGGCCGGGAAGATGAGTAGGATTTCCCCAAGCTAGGGAAACCTGGCAGAGGAGGGGCTCCACGCCCTGCTGGAGCAGCTTCCGGTTTGCAACAGTAGTATTACTAAACTTTTAACTGTTTGATTATGCCAGGTTTAGTCTTGTTTCCAGGTTACAGATGAAGAAATCAGGCATTTTATGCGCAGAGATGGTCCAGAAAAGAGCTCAAGCTGTCATTTGTCTAATTGTGATTAATGAAGATAGTAATAGGGCTTGCTTCACGTGGTTGTGGAGTATAGAGTCAGTTAGTGCATTGAAAGGGCTTAGCACAATGCCTGACACTCGGTAAGAACTCACTAATTGTTACTGTTCTTACCAGTGTTACTGTGACAACGGACCCAACCTCCTGCTCCTGGTGGAATGCGACAAAGTGGTCATTGAATCCTATGCACCTGGTCCTCCATTCCAGCACGTTGCATTTCCTCCAGGTATTATCTCAGTCCCCCGGGCACTGCTAGATGCTGAGAACAGTAGGTAGATGGAAAAGACTTGGGCCTGCCCCTTGAAGAACTAATGCAAGCTGGTAGAAGAAATGCACGATCCGATTTTAAAGAAGACGGTGTCTGTTGGGAAACTACTGTGTAGAGTTGGGACTTCAGAGATTGCCCTCAAGGGCTGACTGGGTGAAATCGGGAGGAAGTGAAAGCTAGCAACCTGAATTAAGGGCCACCTGGGTCTAGCCTTCTGCTTGAGCTAGGGTCAGGTGGGATGGGAAATAAAAAGGTCAGAGTTACTTGGAGTAAAGATTATCAGTCCAAGCTGCATATTGGAATCATCTGTGCTTCTTGTCGAGCAAGAAGTGCGTTGCCTTCAGCAGCACATAAACTAAAATTGGAATGATGCAGAGATTATCATGGCCTCTGTGAGAGAATGACATGCAAATTCATGATGAGTTGTGTATTTTGTGTGTGAGAGAGCCGTTGTGGGGATAGGTTATGAACTAGAAAGGAGACTAAGAGGGGAAATAGAGGTTTTCAGGAAGGGAGGGGGATAATTGAATGAATGAATAATAGAAGGAATGCTGAAAGGGATGGGGACTGCTAATGGTGGATGGTGCAAAGAGGGATGAGAAAAAGAGTAGGGAGGAATCGCAACAAAGCGAAAGTGCTGCAATGAGACCTACTAAGTGATTTCCCCGACAACTGTAGAGTCCTGACTTAGTTGTTCTTGAATATGGCCTGGGTATTGGAATTTTAAAGAAGCAGTTTCTCCAGGAGATTCTGATTTGCAGGCAAGATGGAGAATGCTAACCTAAAAACACTAAGTCAGTAAATACATCTCTGGTGTCTGAAAATTCTCTGTTTGCTAAGAAACAAAGGGCTTAACCCTACCCTCACCATGTGCTCCTTCCTGGACAGATTATTGAAGATTCAGTAAGGTAACGTGATCGGAAGCTAGTACTGTACACAGTTGGTGCTCTGTAATCATAAGCTAATTATGATACTAACCTATTTGGGACTCTCTTCTGAGACTATGGTTTTTAAAGTTAGTTTTGTGTAACATCTTTGCAAGATGCTCCATAACCTGTCCATGGACTTCATCACTCTTACACTGAGCTGTAGCCCCAGTCCTGGAAAGCTGGCTCTACATACTTAGAGTAAATCTTACAAGCTCGTGTGTGTGTTCCTCCCTAGAGCCACCTGCATGATTAATTTGTGAGCAGGTGAGAATAAAAGCCAGAGAGGTGGGAAATGAAGGAGCAGAAGGCATAGAGGAGGGAAGGAGAAAACAACAAACAAATTTAAGGTGATGTTTGTTGGGTGTGGCGTCCCATCATCTCAAATAACCACCTCAGTTACAGGGCTGAGGGCAGTCTGATAAGGTATCTGCCATTACTGGGGAACATACAGTTGCCTTTTAACCATGTGACTTAATCTTTGCTCAGAGAATAATACTGCCTGTGGATTGAGGTTGCTGTGTTAGTGTTTGACTTAAGTGGTGATAGTTCTGATGGGGAATTTGAATCTGGAGAGTATCCTCACACGTCCTTCCTGTTTCTCTTTTGCAGATGGCAGAATTTCCATAGTACCTCTGAGTCCCACATCTTGGTGTGGGACTTCAGTCTCAGCTCCACTGGCTAGAAAAATAAATGGGATTTGCACAAATTACAGCCGAACTGAAATCCTGACTGCAGTGTTAATATCCTTTTCTTCTAGTTGTTACTAACAGGTACTAAGGGACCTAAAATGGAACATGTCTCTGTTTCACACAGGGCTAAACTTAAGCAGAGTGTAACAAGTGCTGAGGAAAAGCAATATTTTTTTTTTTGAAAATGGAATTGTTTCAGATAGGGGATGTTTAGAAAAAAATGGAAAGAAAATGAAGTCATTTAAACAGGTGTTCAGATTTTGTAGCAGCATCTTTTAGACTGTGCAGAACACACTCTCGGTTTACCAGCCTCCATTTCAGTAACTGTGATGGAGCAGCTACCGCAAAGTAGTAGTTGTTTTTCTGGATTAGTTGTTAGAAGCACCCCTAAGTGAAGAAGACTTAGTACCGAGTGTTAAGTGTTGAGCAGAAAAGAGAGGATTGATAAGTCCTTTGCAGTTGTTTGTAAGGAACTTTTATGCGCCGTGCATCTCCTAACTGATTTGAATGATGGTCTTCAATCCTCAGGAAAGTCAATGTCGTCAGAAGATCTAGAAGCCCAGGAGGATGAACTTTTGGCCCTGGCGAGTATTTATGATGCAGATGAGTTCAGAAAAGCAGAGTCCGTCCAAGGTGGAGAAACAAGGATCTATCTGGATCTGCCGCAGAATTTCAAGATATTTGTGAGCGGTTAGTTAAGAATATCTTAACAGATTTTTCTAAATAAAAATTATACTTGATTTCTCACAATATTTTAGTTGTCACTTGTGAATATAGCCATAAGGGATTATTGGTAACTATTGGTGGCATAGATGTAATACATGTTTGTTTTAAAAGAAAATGTGGGGTGGGATGCAAAACAGTTTTCGATTAGATCTTGCCTTTTTGACCACTGAATTGAGAGATCCTGCATATTTCATGCTGCCTAGTCTTCAAATCAGTAGTTGATCAGCAGTCATTGATAATTAGAGGCAAAGAAAAGTTAATAACGAGCAGCTGTGAAGATGCTTGGAGCACCATAGAGTGCCACAAGGTTGATTCTTCATGGTTTCTACAATCAGAGTAACTGCCATGGACAGGTAGGGTATATGCTGTTACTCTGCCACCTTTTGTTGGAGAAAAACAAAACTTTTTTGATATATTTGCAGAGAACTTGATGCACATTTTCTCACAATGTTTCTCCTAGAACCTGTGATCACTTAGATGACCCTGTGACTGTGAGAGTGTTGTGTGCCGTGTTATGTCCTCAAGCCTGATAATACTTTGTTGGCATATACTTCCCCAACCAATTCATGACTAGTTGGCATATGCTGGTCTTAGTAAGTCATGGTTGTTTTATAGAAATAAGTGTTTTTTTTTTCCCTCTAGATTGTGTCTTTAATTGTCTACCATAAACCAACAATGAAACAAAACATTGTGCATTACTTTGTCTTTAGTGTTAGGAATTGTACTAGGAAGTGTTTACAAGAGTGAGTTGTGTGACTTCATACATAACATGGCACCTAAGTAGATTTTTCAAGGGCTTGTAAGGTGTTATGTTTTGTTTTTGAAGGTAAGACTAGGGAATTAACATTTAAGGCATAGAGGGTGCTCTGGGGGAGGGTTTTTATCCCCTCTACTGAAGCATTAGGGCTGAGCACTGCTCAGTAGTTTTGGACACTCCAGTGTTGATCAACTGATCCTTTCTGATTTTTGTTTTTGGTTCAGGCAATTCAAATGAGTGTCTCCAGAATAGTGGCTTTGAATACACCATTTGCTTTCTGCCACCACTTGTGCTGAACTTTGAACTGCCACCAGATTATCCATCCTCCTCCCCACCTTCATTCACACTTAGTGGCAAATGGCTGTCACCAACTCAGGTAGACCCAAAACTTAATTTCTCCTATCCATTTTTAGAAACTTACAAAATCATCTTTAACCGAAGACTACCTTGGTGATCTTTAACTCAGTGCATAAAGAACAAACGGCTTTGATTTTATAAAATTTCCCCCTAGTGTTCATGAATCCTAATGCTAATGAATTGAAAATGCTTGATGTTTTTAGAAAGAATGGCAGGGCTGGAATATGGCTCACTGGTAGAGTTCTTTCCTCACATGTTCAAGACCCTGGATTCTTACCTCAGTAATGGAAAAAGAAAGAAATGGCAGTAAACAAACTTAATTAGTCCTTATGAATTTCAACAGCAATGTTTTTTAATCAAGTGTATTGTTTCTTTTCCTAGAGACAAGGTCGTCTGCATTTTCCTTAGATGCTGATATTATATTCTCAGTTTCTTATTCATTCCTTAAAAAAAAGATTTAATTGTAATTACAACAGAAAATTTAGCTAAATAGCTATAATAAGCTATTTATTTCCTGAATAAATGTAATAAATGCTTCTCCACAAAAATCTTGTATTAATAATGGTAATTGTCACTTAGTATCACTTAGCTCTGTGCACACAAATAAAAATCTGTATAGTTCTTGTAGATAACTTTCTAAGGCTTGAGACCTTATATTGAAAGCCTTCCTTCTCTGTGTGTTATTTATGCTTGCCTAATAACCTCAATAGCTTTTACTAACAGGTAATAATTGTATATATTTATGATGGGGCACATTGTTATTATTTCGACTTAATATTGTATACAGCATGTATTACTCAAACCAGGGTAATTAGTATGTCTGTCTCTATATCAATTATGTCTGTAGCCTTCAAGCGCCTCTCTTCAGTGTCAGTGTTTGATTAAGACATAAATGTGACTTGAAGCTAGTACAGTGTTCTGAAATGTGATGGATCAATAGCTACTTTTCTAGAAGTTATGAAGACTGATAAGCTGATATTAAGACAAAAGCTGTTAGTTGTTGACCTCAAGGAAATGGTTCGTTAGTTTTTCCCTTTAGTCACATAGTTTTGATATGTTTATATTTGGAGATAGAGTTTTGCTTCATAGCCAAGGCTGGGCTAAATCTCATTAATCTTCCTCCTTCAGCCTCCTGAGAGCTTGTGATTATATGCGCACAACAGCCTACTTGGTTTTATCATATAGGATTTGTTCCCCCATCTAATCTTTTGCATAATGGTACCTTTATAAGAATTAAGATTACAACTTAAAAAGAAAGTTCACTTTTAAAGGGGATAATGCTTGTAGGATAGGAAAGATAATATGTGCCAGAAGCAGCAGGTGTGAGGCCACTCATTATTTGTTGAGGCTACCATTAATGATGTTTAGATCACTGATGTTGGCAAGTTCTTTAGGTTTTAGAGCCTCATAGAGTTGTGTAGAGTTACTCATTCTCTGCATACCGCCATGTGCTTGTACACACATGCACAAAAAGGGACAAGATAAATTGGATGCATGATGTACTTTCAGAGTCAGAGTCTAGTGTCTACTTAATGCTAGCTTTGGGAGCACTATAGGGAGGGTTCATTACTTCTTGTCTCTAGATAAAATTATAGTAGAATTCTTTATCAAAGAAATCACACAGAGAATTGATGTTTTAATTGATTGTGTTTCTTAGTTCAATCTTTGTTGCTATACCCTGACTCATAGCATTGTGAATTCCACCTGCTTGTCATGAAATTGACACATGGACCTGTCACTCAGGATTGGGGTGGGTAGATAGAATCAGAGTGGGTCTAATTCTGTAGTATTCTTCTATACTCGCTCTCTTTCTCCTCCTCTTCCTACTTCACGTTTATATGCATGCCTTTTCTGACATGGAACTGGGGAGGGAGGGAGGGAGGGAGGGAAGGAAGGAAGGAAGGAAGGAAGAGAATGTGTTTTTATCAGACCCCACTTACATGGCATGCAGAGCTTCCCATTTAAATAGTTACCCACTTGGGGCTGGAGAGGTGGCTCAGTGGTTAAGAACACTGTTGCTCTTGCAGAGTACCCCAGTTCAAGTCACAGCATCCACATGGCAGCTCACAGCCATCTGCTCCAGCTTCAGGGAATCTGATGCCTTCTGACCTTAGTGGGCACTAGGACACATATATGTGCAAGCAAAGCACTCATGCATGTAAAAACAAATAAAAAATAAAACCCCCAAAATAAATATTTGTTATATTTTAGCGGGTTTCTCAAAAACCATGGTTCATAATATAAGCTCCAAGCAAATCTGAAAAAGCTTTAGTTATTAGTAAGTATTTAGGTAAGTGCTGTGCAGAACTGACAGAAACACCACACAGCAAGGAACAGAAATTGGTTTTTTTTTTTTCCACCGTGATTTTCAAAATTTACTTGCCCTCTGGAAAGCTTGTTTTTGCAGGTAGCAAAAAGAAAAGCAGCTTATAATTCCTGAGCTCCAGTTACAAATATTTTACATTCTAATGGGAAATTGTCTTATACTTGACTTTCTAATGAAACACATCACTTTTAAGTGGAAAGGTCAAAATGGTTTAACTTTGATGGCTTAGTTTAGAACTGAGAGCTTTCTTTGTGGCAACCGAAGATGTGGAGGGCCTGTAATGAATGCTCAGGGCCAGTGTCAGTCTATTTCCCTCTACTATTCAGATTTGACGTAGATCCAGATTTCTTAGAGCTTGTCAGTTGGGGATCTGCTAAGTGCTAGAGTGTTTCTTTTTCTTCTTTCTTCCTTTCCTTTCCTTTTTTTTTTTTTTGGTTTCTCAAGACAGGGTTTCTCTGTATTGCTTTGGAATCTGTCTGTCCTGGAACTAGCTCTGTAGACCAGGCTCTCCTGGAACTCACAGAGATCCATCTGCCTCTGCCTCCTGAGTGCTGAGATCAAAGGCATGAACCACCAATGCTTAGCACTAAAGTGTTTCTTGCCAAGCATAGAACCCTCCATCCAATCCCTTGACTGAAAGAAAAAAAAGTTTATTGCAAATGTAGAAAAAAAGAACTTGGGTTTAATTATACAAATGACTATATCAGCTGACTTGGCTCTTTGATAGGACTGAAAGTTAGAATTAACTTTAAAACTTTGAATGGTATTTTCATTTTAACAATTTTAAAGAATTTTTGAGACAGGGTCTCCTATAGTTGAGGTTGGTCTTTAACTCAATGTATAGTTGAGGATGACCTTGAACTTGTGATCTTCCTGCTTTGCCTCACAAGTGCTGGGCTTATAGTTGTGCACTTAGTAAATTGTATGTTTATGGAGTTGTATGATGTTTTGATACATGTGTAATATTTAAGATTGGACAACCAATGTTTTTACAATTATGATGACTATGTTCATCCAACATTTTATTATTTATAGCAAAACACTCAAAATTCTTTCTTCAGCCTTTTCCCCACTTCTAGCATTTTAAAATATACAGTGGCTGTGCTTAGTGTTTTTAGTCAGGGATTCATATAGTCTAGATTGTCCTCAAACTCTGTGTGGCTGAGGCTGGCCTTAAACTCACAGTTGCACTATTTCTACCTCTTAAGTGTTTGGATTCCAAGCCTGTGCTATCACAATGTTCCCAATATCTCCCTACTATATGCACATGGGACTTCTTGGTCCTGTAATTGTGACTGAGTAATCACTGGTCATACTCCTCCATCTCTACCATGTGCACATGAGACTTCTTGGTCCCATAACTGTGACTTAATAATCAAAGGTCAGGTCTCCTCCATCCCTACTATGTGCACATGGGACTTCTTGGTCCCATAACTGTGACTTAGTAAGCACTGGTTACTTTTCCTCCATCCCTCACTTCCATGTCCCACCTCTGCTCTCAAATTCTATAAAATGAACTGTTTGGTGTTTACTTTTGTTTTTTATTTATTTAAAAAAATTATGTGTATAAGTGTTTTGCCTGAATGTATGTCTGTGTACCACATGTATGCAGAACTCACAGAGGCCATAAGAGAACATTAGGGTCACCTGGAATTGGAGTTTACAGATGGTTGTGAGCCACCATGTGGGTTTTGTGAACTGAACCTGGGTCTTCTGGAAGGTAGCCAGCCATAGCCATGCTCACCACTATTCCACTAACACAAACCTGGGTCTTCTGGAAGAGTAGCCAGTGCTCTTAACTCTCTCTAGCCCTCCTCCCCATAAAAGAGAGAGAGGAGAGAGAAAATGACAAGATTTCATGTAGTTCAAGCTGACCTCAGTCTCTGCTTAAAGGTAAGTCCTACTTTGCCTAGCTGAGGTTAACTTTTTTTTTTTTCAAGACAGGGTTTCTAAACTGTGTAGCCCTAACTGTCCTTGAGTCCTTGAACTCACTCTGTAGACCAAATTGGCCTCAAATTCAGAGATCCACCTGCCTCTGTCTCCCAAGTGCTGGGGTTAAAGACATGTGCCACCACTGGCCAACTAACTTTTTTATATTGTAATCTGAACAAAAACCACTCAGTGCTTGTGTTTCTGAGCCTGGCTTATTTAACATAGTAATTCCCAATTTCATCCATGCTATTGCAAAAATAAATAAATAAATAAATAAATAAGAGGATTTTATTTTCTCTCTCTCTCTCTCTCTCTCTCTCTCTCTCTTTTTTTTTTTTTTTTTTTTTGTATTTTGAGACAGGGTTTTTCTCTATTGCTTTGGAGCCTGTCTTGGAACTCGCTCTGTAGACCAGGCTGGCCTTGAACTCAATAGAGATCTATCTGCCGCTGCCTCCTGAGTGATGGGATTACAGGCGTGAGCCACCAATGCCCGGCTTTTTATTCTCTTTTATAGATGGACAGACAGTATTTCACTGTTATCTACCCAGCTGTTGATGGATGTTTAAGTCATTTCCTTCCTTGGCAACATGAATCACTCTGCAATACCAGAACATAATGTAATGTTCTGTAGATATATACCAGGTATTGCTGGATCATGTTGTAGTTCTGGTTTTGATTCTTTTGAGGGACCTTTGTACTATTCCCACAGTGGCTGTATAACTTACATTCCCATCAACAGTATGCCAAGAGTTAGTTCTAGTTCCCTTTCTTGGCACCTTTGCCAGCACTTGTCTTTGATGATAGCCATTTGTACCAGAGTAAGGCGATACCTTCCTGTGTCTGGGTTTTACATCAGCCTGATTGGTGACGAGACGCTAAGCATTTTTGCATGAACTTTGCCTGGCACTTGCATGTCTTCTGTCTGCTAGGTCTTTCCCTTGTGTGTGCATTGAGAGCGGTACTGGGGATTAAGCCTTGTCCATGCTATGTATGCATTCTGCCATTGAGCAATACCCCAGACCCTCATCTTCCCACTTACATATCAGATTGTTTGAACCAGCAGTAGCCTTTGAACATACCTCTTGAGGAAGCTGAGGCAGGAACATCAAAAGTTCAAGGCCTGAACCTATAAAATGGCTGAGTGGGCAGGGCCACTTGCCACCAAGCCTGATGATCTGTGTTTGATCCCTAGACCCCATGAGGTGGAAGGAGAGAAGTGACCCCTACAAGTTGTCCTCAGACTTCCACATTTAGGCATGGCATGTGCATGTCCATACCTACACATAACTACATATAAAATAAATGCATATTTTTTGTTATCAAGACAGAGTTTCTCTGTGTAGCCCTGGCTGTCCTGAAACCTTGCTTTGCAGTTCAGAATCATTTTGAACTGTCAGAGATCTGCATGCCTCTGCTTCCTGAATGCTAAAATTAAAGGTGTGCACCACCTTTATATACATATTTTTGGGTATATACACACACACAGACACACACACAGACACACACACACACACACACACATATGTATATGGCAAACCTGAGCAACTTAGCAAGATCCTGTCTCAGAATAAAATTAGGAAGAAGACTGAGAACTCCAGTTCATGATGAGCATCTGCCCTGAATTCCCCCTGAGTACTGCCAAAAGGAAAAAAAGAATCAGATTATTTTGGGGATTTGGGCTTTTTGAAGTTTGTCATATGTGCTAAGCATTAGCCCTTGTCAGGTGCTGTATGCACTGACTTCTCCCACCTGGTAGGCTGTCCCTACACTCAGTTGTCCCTCTCCTCTGCAGATGCTGTTCCTTTAGATAAAAAGCCTCATGGGTTTTGAGGTGGTTTTGTAACTGATGTGTGTGTTGAGGGTTTAGTTTGGCTCTTTTGAGTGTGAATATTCAATTTTCCCAGCACCATGTGTTGAAGATGCTGCCCTTTCTTGGATGTTTTTGTTTTATTTTGTTTTTGTGGACTAGGTAGGCAAGCACTCTACTATTCAGCTGTGTCCCCAGCTATGAATGATATTTTATTTTCATTTACTTTTTGTTTCAGCCCATTTACTATTTCATATATGCTTTACAAATTTCTGTTGGACAGATTTGTTATAGGAAGTACAGTTAATCCAAAAAAGGAACAGAAAGGGTGTGGGAAATGAGCACACTGCTAATCATGGAATTTTACTACCCAGAAACAAGTACTGAGATTTTGCAGGGCTTTGAATGGCTCTATACACTATCCTTTTTCTAATTACAATTCTAGATCACCTACAAGGGCTCCCAAAGAGAAACAGTTTCTTTTGTTTGTTTGTTTTGTTTGTTTTTTGAGATGGGGTTTCTCTGTGTATAGCCCTGGCTGAACTGGAACTTGCCCTGTAGACCATGCTGTCCTCAGACTCACAGAGATCCACCTGCCTTTGCCTCCTGAGTAGGGGGATTAAAGGCGTACACCACCACTACTGAAGAGAAATAGTTCCTTTCTAACACATGAGATAGAGTGATGCTAAAGTCCTGTTTCAATAGCTTAAGTAGCAATCTGGGTCTGTATCCTACAGTATTTTGTATTTCTGTTTTTGTGCTACTTCTAGATTCTGACTTTGTTTTATTTATGCTGGCCACTGTTGCTAAATAGTTGAAGAAATGATTTGGTGAGAATGTTGGTACTACTTTGGTGGTAAGAAAAAGTAGTGTCAGCAAGTTATACTAACATAAGTTTCAAAGAGCCTACAGAAGATCAGGAATTGGTAGATCATCATCATCTTCCCAAACTCAGCATCCTTGTTTGCTTTCTCCTAGCTCTCTGCTCTCTGCAAGCACCTAGACAACCTGTGGGAAGAACACCGAGGCAGTGTGGTGCTGTTTGCCTGGATGCAGTTTCTTAAGGAGGAAACCCTCACCTACCTGAATATTGTCTCTCCTTTTGAGCTCAAGATGGGGTCTCAGAAAAAAGTTCAGAGAAGGACAACAGCTCAGGCCTCTTCCAGCACAGAACTAGGTTTTGGAGGAGCTGCTGGATCTGATGTAGACCAAGAAGAAATTGTGGACGAGAGAGCGGTGCAGGATGTAGAATCATTGTCAAGTCTGATCCAAGAAATCTTGGACTTCAATCAAGCTCAGCAGATGAAAAGCTTCAACAGTAAATTGTTCCTGTGCAATATATGTTTCTGTGAGAAGCTGGGTAGTGAGTGCATGTACTTCTTGGAGTGTAGACATGTGTACTGCAAAGCCTGTCTGAAGGACTACTTTGAAATCCAGATCAAAGATGGCCAAGTGAAATGCCTCAACTGTCCAGAACCAAAGTGCTCTTCAGTGGCTACTCCTGGTCAGGTAACATCACTCTGTTGATGTCACAGTCCTTTTCACAAAGGAAAACCTCTTGGGAACTTTTCTTTTGAGACAGGACTCAAACGCATAATCCTTCTGCCTCAACTTCCCTAACACTGGGATTGTAGGTATATGTCACTACACTTGCCACAGGAATTCTAATTAATTAAAATTAATGTGTTTATTTTGCAGTGTTGAGGATCAGTCCCAGCCCTCACACCTACTAGGCAAGTGGTCCCACTAAGCCACACTCCCACCCTCACAAACTTTCTTGATAGTATTCATGGTGTAGCCTAAGTCCTTGGGTGTAGTTCACAAGTTGTTTCATAGTATATATTAAGAATGCTATAAAATGGGTATAGTACCCAGCCACCTATAATCCCAGTACTCCAGAGGTAGAGGCAGGAGAATCAGTGTTCAATATCATCCTGGACTGTAGCAAGTTCAAGGCTTATTTGGGCTGCATGAGATCTATCTCAAAAATCAAAACCAGGGTCAGTGAAATGGGTCATTAGGTAAAGGAACCTGCCACAAAGCCTGTTGAGAGAACCAGCTTCCTTAGATTGTCTTTTAATCTGTATAAATGTATGTGGGCAAATGCATGTATACACATGTACAGGCAGATTTCTGTTCTGTCTTTAATTGTTTAATTCTATTTTACATGCATTGGTGTTTGCTTGCATGTATGTCTATATGAGAATGTCAGATCCCCTAGAATTGAACTTACAGACAGGTGTAATCTGCTATGTGGGTGCTGGAATTTGAATCCAAGTCCTTAGGAAGTACAGCCTCTTAACTACCGAGCTATCTGTCTAGCCCTTGTTTTGTTTTTTTGAGACAGGACTTCTCTCTATAACCTTGGCTGTCCTGGAACTCTCTCTGTACACCAGGTTGGCCTTGAACTCCGAGGCCTGCCTCTGCCTCCCGAGTGTTGGAACCGAAAGCAGGCGCCACCATGCCCAACTTTAGTTTTGACCACTGTGTGGATCCATGCAACCATAACCTCAGTCGGGTTGTAGACTGTTAGAGCAAGACATGAAAAGCTGAGGCAGGTAGATTGCTGAAAATTCAAAGTTAATGGACTACATGCCCCATGTCCCACCCCTTGCTCAAAAAATGAAAAGGGCATAAATTATTGCCAAATCTGCTTTGATGCTGAAACAAGAATAGAGGTTTGAATTTTGCACCTATCTTTTTATATCAGCAACCTAAGATTCTTCTCAGGGTCAGAACTAGTTTGGAAGTGGCCAATCTGTGGTGCTTTTATTTCCTCTCAGGTCAAAGAGCTGGTGGAAGCAGACTTATTTGCTCGCTATGACCGCCTCCTTCTCCAGTCTACCTTGGATCTAATGGCTGATGTGGTGTACTGTCCCCGCCCATGCTGCCAGCTCCCTGTGATGCAGGAGCCTGGTGGTACTATGGCTATCTGCTCCAGCTGCAATTTTGCCTTCTGTACCCTGTGCAGACTGACCTATCACGGGGTCTCTCCATGTAAGGTAACTGCAGGTATGTTGTGACTATGAGCCCAACCCCCATCCAGTAGCCCTCCCTCACAGAGGCCTGTGACTTCCATTCATACATTTAGAGCCCTCACACTGATAGTGTTTGTATTTGTCTCAGTCATAGAGTTACTAAAGTAGAGTTGCATGCCAATTATAACTGGCTTTTGCTCCAGTTTTTCCTGAGCCTGATGGCAGATGTGCATACTGAACCATCTTCCTGAATGCTTTTCTCAGTTAGCATCTTTGCTCTAAGGGCAGAGGAATGACCAGGGACTTTTAAAATCCTTTCATGGAACTTCAGTCTACTGGGGACAACAACGTACAGAGAGTAAGCTGTGGCAAGTGCTAAGGAGGAAAAACAAAGTAAGAACACGTTAAGAAGTGTTCTGAGAGAAGAAGATTTAAGAGTCTCTTTAGGACACTGGGGCAGCTTCACTGGAAGCAAGCAGAACCATGCAGATAGGGAAGGCTTCCTAGGAAAAGGACTAGCGTGTGGAATCTGCCATGCATGTGGAGTAACACAGTCCTGGATGGCAAATGCAGGCATCCAAACTGCTACTCTTGACTCTGGCACAGATGTATGCTTGGTCCTCAGATGCTTTCTCCCTGAGCCACCTGTGCTGGAGTGAATGTAGGAGGTGAAACGTGCTTGCCAGTTTTGATGCAGGTAGGGTCTGGGAATCAGGCCCTTTTTGTCAATTTCATTGGCCATTGGGGTCCCAGGTTTTCTCAGATTAATGAAGAAGATGAAAATACTGCAAAGGTGTTTGAAAATGGAGAGAACTAATGAAAGTGCCATGCAAAATTGTTACGTTGTTGTTGAGTCTGTGACAAAGTAGATACAGAAATTGAAAGTCAGGACTAAAAACTTAGCAGCAATTTCAGAATGACTCAAATCTAATACAAAATTTAAGTTCATAGTTGTTAATCTTTCTAGAAATTCCTTCTGTTGTATTTTGCAAAAGTATTGATTCCTGACAGGAGGACTTATCTTTCATCCTGGATAATGTGACAAACTGTGGGCTAATTTGCATGAGGTGCAGAGTGGTGACTGCTAATGCTACTTGGTCACTGCGTGGTAATGTCAGCAGACTGCCTTTATTTACAAGGAAATGTCTTAGGGGAGAGTGAGCCAGCAGTTCCACTTAGTTCAGGGCAGTCGTGTAGCTGAAGTTTGTGTGGTTTGTACTTCAGATTGTTCTGAAATACAGTGTTAGTCTTCTCTACTCCTGTTGGTGAGAGAAGGGCAATGTTTCATGAATTTGGAGAGGTTCAAGTAAGCTTGGGGTTTCAGCAGAATTAGTAATCTGTCTGAGTATGTGTGTATGTATGCATATCCATGAAATAGTTATTTTGAGAATATTAAGCAATAAATGTCGTCCTTAAGATATTGAAGAACATAAAAATGCTTTGAATTATTAGAGATGAAAAAGATGTCTGTTACATCCAAATACAGTGGTATTGCCACAGGAATGCACAATACAGGTTGAATTTACAGGTTGAAAAGAGAAAAAACATACATAGTCTGCCTCAGAAGGTGTCTTGCTTAAAAGGAATAGACTGTGGTGACATTGTTTATGATCTAATAAAGCCACTGGAGATCAGAATGCAAAGCTATAGAAGCTGGGCAGTGGTACATACCTTTACTCCTCAGGAGACAGAGGCAGATGGATCTCTGTGAGTCCAAGACCACCCAGGGCCACACAAAAGTGAATTAGTCTAAAAGAGTAATAGAGCTCACGCCTTTAATACCAGCACTAGAGAGGTGTATAAGGAAGAAGCAATCTCATGGGAGATTGGGTTTCCAGTCACAGGGAAGGCAGGATCTCCATTTCATCCTTGGTAGAGATAAGAGTTACTAGCTGGCTGCTTTGCTTCTTTGACCTTCAGCTTGAACCCCAATGTCTGTCTGTTGGTGTTTATTCATGCTACATCAGACCTCTAAGTAATATGAGGAAAACATACTAATATAATAAGAGCAGAGCCAGGGAGGTAGCTCAGTGGTGAGAATGCTTGCTATGTAAACATGAGAACCTGAGATTGAGTCCCCAGCACTCATGTAAAATTCTGGGTGTGACCACACATGCCTGAAACTCCATCTTTTCGTGGCAAGGATAGTTGGATCCTGGGAGCTTACTGACCAGCTAGCCCAGCCTAAGTGGGCAAGCTTCTAGTTCAGTGTCTTAATAGAGTAAGGTAGAGAGTAAGAGGAGGAAGTAGATGTCCTCCTTTAGCTTTCATATTCATGCACACAGGTACACACATCTGTACACACACTACACACGTATCTCCCAAATAAAAATTAACTAAATAACTAGAACTTTTATGAGAGGTTTTCAATTGTATTGAAAAATTAAGGGGATACAATTGGGAACAAAAGCTTTGTCTGCAGCTGGAACCTTTGCACATGGATGCTTAATCCATTTAAGTGGTAAAGCAGCAATATAAGCCAGTTGAAGAATATTAGGGGAAAAGGCGAAAATAACTTCTTAAAAATTTATTTTTATTGGTTTGTGTGAGTATATACATGTAAGTGCAGTGCCTATGGAGGCCACAAGAGGGCATTAGATTCTCCCCCCCCCACCCCTCCCCCGGAGCTTGTGTGTCCGGTTGTTTGAGCCTCATGATGATGTTGGTGTGCTAGAAACAAACCCAGGTGCTCTGGAAGAGCAGCAAATGTTCTTACCTGCTGAGCCTTCTTTCCAGCCTCAAGGAAGAACTGCTTCAAAAGTCACACTAATTGTGTGGCGGTGGGATGCAAACTCTGTAGCAGTCAGAAGACAATTTGTGGAAGTTGGTTCTTCCACTGTGTGGATCTGACTCTTGACCTATGGGCATCAGGCTTGGCAGCCAGCTTCTTTACCCCCTGAGCCATCTCAACTACCTCAGGAACAGCTTTTCAGCATCTGCAACAAAGTGAATGTTAGTCACTATTTTTGTATGCCAGATTGTTTACGATGATTGATATTTTACACAGTGTAGAATCAGTGTCTACAACTTACAGATTTTGGTATGGTATGGTATTGGGGATTAACCTCAGGGTCTTGGCAAACACTCTGCCACTGAACTCCACAGGCTCTTTGTTCTTTTCGACAAGCCAGTTCTCATTGAATGTTGCCAGCTACATAAACATGCCAGTATTGAGAAACCAAAGTCAGGGGGAAACCCTGCCCCCTTAGCAAGTCTGACTCTCCTAGTGGGTGGATCCTGCCTGCCTCTGTTTGCATACATGTAAGTATACTGTTTTTGGATGCTATGAATTCTAATTGTTCTTAGTAGTAAAAACGCAGAGACAGATATTAGGGTTAAAGCTGAAGATCAGAGAAGCAAAGTGGCCAGCTACTTGAAAGTTCTCACCTCTACCAGTGCTCAGACTGAGGGCGATCCTGTCCTCAGACTGCATCTCCAGACTGCATCTGTCTCCACTAAACCTCAGACTGCACTGAGCTCCTGTTTCGTCCTGACTTATACTCCTCTCTAGTGCTGGGATTAAAGGTGTGGGATCCCAAGTGCTGAGATCACCTTTGTTAAGCTCTGTTTCTCTTTTAGACAGATTCAATCTTGTGTAGTCCAAGGTGGCCTGGAATGAACAGAGAGCCATCTGCCTGTCTCCCGAGTGCTGGTATTAAAGGTGTATTCCACCGTCTGGACTCTATGGCTAACTAGTGTGGCTAGCTTTGTACTCTGATCTTCAGGCAAGCTTTATTTGTTAGATCATAAAATATCACCACACTATGAGTATTTGGATTGAATACTAGCCACACCAATTAAGTCTTTTTGTATTTTGTTTTGTTTTGGTTTTTTCCGATATATTGAAAGCTTTTTTTGATTCTAAGATCTAAACTATAGGAGATTGTTCACATTTTCACATACAATATATTTATGGTTTTTATTGACATTAGTTATACACAATAATGGGTTTGTTATGAAATTTTTATGCATGTATATGTTTTGGTCATAGTCACTCCACTGTTCCCCCATCTCCTCCTTATTTTTTTATATTTAAATATTTTGAGTGTTTTTTGTTGTTGTTATTGTTGGGGATTTTTGGTTTTCTTTTAGACTTTTGTTTCTCAAGACAGACAGGGTCTCACTATGTACTTCTGGTGTGCCTGGAAAACTGTATGCAGACCAGGCTAGCCTTTCAAGTTCCCTCAATGAGATCTGCCTGTCTCTGCCTCCCAAGTGCTAGAGATAAAGCTGTGCACTACTGTGAACATTATGGACATTTTGAGTATTTTTGGTCAATATTGCAAGTAACAGAGTTAATTTTCTATTGTATTTTCCAGAAAAATTAATAGACCTAAGAAATGAATACTTACAAGCAGATGAAGCTACTAAAAGGTTCTTGGAACAGAGATATGGCAAGAGGGTGATTCAGAAGGCCTTGGAGGAGATGGAAAGTAAAGACTGGCTGGAAAAGAACTCCAAGAGCTGCCCCTGCTGCGGAACTCCCATACAGGTGACTGCAGTAGGACAGACTTAGAGCACAGTTACCTCAGAAGCCTACTGGTTAACTGTAATTGTTATGTTATGGAAAAAACACATTTGGGCATCTACCCAGCTTTCTCACTTGGAAAATAAAATTTCACTAGTAAATATTGTTACTGACTTTTAAGTGCATGTAGGCTTCTCTATTCAAAGTGCTTTTTATAGGAAGACAATTTATCTCACATTGTGTCCACCTCAAAATTGAGTAGATGTTGCTCCATTCCACTTTCTTTTGCTAATAACAATACCAAGGCTGGGTAAGTTATAAAGCTTATTTTGGATTTTGTCCTGGTTCTGTCCTGAGACAGTGCAGAGCATCACCTAGTGAGAAGTAGTGTGTCTCCACTGGTAGTGCCCTCTTGTAGAAAGCCACCAGTATCCAGTGATTGAGAGCCAGCCAGATGACCTCATCTTATCCTTCTCCCAAGAGCCCTGCTGCTAAATACAATGTTCAGGCTAAGTTCCCACTTTTTTTTTTTTCCTCTCTTTTTGGTTTTTCAAGACAGGGTTTCTCTGTGTAGCTTTGGAGCCTATCTTGGAACTCGCTGCCCTCGAATTCACAGAGACCTGCTTGCCTCTGCCTTCTGAGCGCTGGGATTAAAAGTGTGTGCCACCAATGCCCGGCTAAATTCCCAATTTTTTTCCTTTCTTTTTCATTTTTTTTTTTAAGAAGACAGGGCTTCTTATGTAGCCTTGGCTGTTCTAGAACTAGCTGTAGACCAGGCTGGTCTCAAACTCACAGAGATCCTCCTGCCTCTGCCTCCTGGGTGCTAGGAGTAAAGGTGTGCGCCACCACCGCCCAGCCTTGTGTCTATATTTATGAGAAGAGATTGTGCTAAGCATCTAGTTGCAGGACCACCTGCTCAGTATTTCTGCATTTTACTTTGAGTGCAAATGTATAAGTGGTTGTCAGTGAGATTGTTGCCTGTGTACCAGTCCTCCCTGAGAAGGACAAAGGACTGGGGAGTGTGGTATGTTGCTTTTGCATCCTCTTCTGCCTTTACCACCTTGCTGTCATGTCTCCTCCCACCAGAAGTTAGACGGCTGTAACAAGATGACCTGTACCGGCTGTATGCAGTACTTCTGCTGGATCTGCATGGGTTCTCTGTCCAGAGCAAACCCTTACAAACACTTCACTGACCCCGATTCTCCATGCTTTAACAGGTTTGTATACATAGGGTTCCCTAGATTAGTGTTTAAAAAGTCAAGAGGGGAGAAGAGGGGAAGGGAGAGGAGGGAGGAGACTCTTCGCATAAACAGGGTCGAAATGGTTTCAAATCTTTCAAAGTTGAAGCAAAAAGTACAGGTATTTGCAGGATGCCTGATTTGTTACATGTGTGCTGGAATCCAAATTCTGGTCCTCACAGTTGTATAGCAAGCATTCTCAACTGTCTTTCTAGCCCATCTGCAATATGTTTTGATACCATTTTGCAGGTTAGCTTATTTTCTAAAGTAGCTAAACTTGGAGAACTCTTCCTACATGTGATTTTTAAACCTTCTTGAAATGGGTTTATAATCAGAGTATACCTCTTGAAAAACATTTTTTATTGTTTATTTTTTTGTTTTGTTTTGTTTTGTTTTTTTTGAGACAGGGTTTCTCTATAGCTTTGGAGACTGTCCTGGAACTCACTCTGTAGACCAGGCTGTCCTCAAAGTCACAGATCCATCTGTCTCTGCCTCCCAAATACTAGGATTAAAAATGTCTGCCACCACCACCTGGCTACTTTTTATTCTTACCTTAAATTAAAATGCTTAGCCAGGCAGTGGTGGTGTATGCCTTTGATCCAAGTACTTATGAGGCAGAGGCAGGCAAATCTCTTGAGTTTGAGATTAGCCTGGTCTACAGAGTTCCAACACAGCCAGAGCTACACAGAGAAACCCTGTCTCAGAGGGTAAAAAAACATACTTAAGGGTGTTTTGCCTACATGTATGTCTGAATACCACATGTGCAGGTACCTGCAGAAGCTGGAAGAGCATGTTGGACTCCTTGGGACTGGAGTTACAGATGGTTGTCACACCACCATGTGGGTGCTAGGAATTGAACCCAGGTCCTCTGGAAGAGCAGCCATGATTTTAACTACTGAGCCACCTACTCCACATTTTAAAAGACAGCATATGTGATATAGCCTGGCCTATATTGACTTGTTTAAAAATTTTAAATTATTTTTGTGTGTGTGGTGTAGGTGTATTTGTGTCATGGTGCACATGTAAAATTAGGACAAGTTTTAGCAGTTGTTACCTTCTTTCTACCACATTCCACCATGGGTCCTGGGGCTATAACTCAGGCAAGCATTTCAATCTTGTGGACTGTATTGGTAGCCCTGGCTTTGAATTCTCAATCCTGGTGGTTTTTTAATTTTTTTTTTTTTTTTTTTTTGTGTGTGTGTGTGTGTGTGTGTGTGTGTTTGGGGTGGGGTGGGTTGGGGATGAGGTGGTTGGTTTTTCAAGACAAGGTTTCTCTGAGTGTAGCTCTACCTTGTTCTGGAATTCCCTCTGTAGATCAGGTTGGCCTTGAACTCAGAGATCCACCTGCATCTGCCTCCTGAGTGTTGGGATTATAGTAATGGTTGTTTGGTTTCTTTGTTTTTAGTTTTTCAAGGTTTCTCTGTATAGTCCTGGCTGTGCTTTGTAGACTAGGCTGGCATGGAACTCACAGAGATCCTCCCTGTCTGCCTCCCGAGTGCTGGGATTAAGGGCTTGTGCCACCACCCCAAAATAGTAACAGTTTTGACAATGATATTTCATGTGATGATGCATATGGTACTCTAGTGGGAGAACCATGGTCAGACTGCCTCTGTTAGTGTGCTGTCATTTAATGCATGCAGAGAGATATATTTTCCCTTTTGTATTAGAAAAGAATCGAAGGTGATTCTTTGACACAGTGTGGATTATTGTTCAGCAGTTCACCAAAGTTATCAGTGTTCTTCTCCATTGGTTTCTGTAGAGACCCTACACTCATTAGGGTTATAAAAGTCAAAGAGAAACTGAAGGACCTAGTCCTGCTGTGAACTGTTGCAAGCTAGTGTTGGAAATGGCACCAGCTTTTGAGAGGGAAAGAAACCAAAGGGCCTCTACACAGCATGCCACCAACGGAGGAGCAAGGATGTAACCAGAAAGCATGGAAAGATTAGCATGTGGCTGGCTTGTTTACTGAAAGAGTTCAGTTTCTTCCAAACTGCATGACTCTCCACTCTTGACTTATTTCACAGACCATATACATTACCAGTTTGATGATGCCCATTCCCCATATTTTATAAAGTAAAGTGAGGGATGGGGTACAGTTTAGTGGTACTTTCCTGGCATGCACTGCTGGTTTATTTTAACTTTTTGTTTGTTTGTTTGTTTGTTTGTTTTTTAATGGAGATCTTTCTACACATTCATGGCTGGCCTGGAACTCACTAAGTATACCAGGCTGGTGTCGAACTCACACATTTCCCTGCCTCTGCCTCCCAAATGCTGGGATTAAAGACAAGCACCACCATGCCTAGCTGACCAATACTGTTCTTACAAACATCTTGAAGCTTGTTTGTAAAGACTTAGATTTCAGCCCTCCTTAAAGAAATGGCTAAAGAAGAAAATGTATGCAGAGGTGTTATCAGATGGGTAGAGTGTTTTTGAAAGAGGGAAAGAGATTAGCATAAGTATGTACCTTTGTTTTATGCTTTCAGACTCTTCCATGCTGTGGATGTTAATGGAGATGTTTGGGAAGATGAAATTGAAGACTAGTTCATTCCTTCTGCTTGCCATATAGAAATGGAGTGGTTTGCCCTAATCTTCCGTCAAGTACACAAAGAAACCTTGCAAGATGTTTAGGGTACCATATATTCACACTTCCTATGTAGAAGGAAGAACAGGGTTTATATTTTTCTTTGGTACTACTGATTAAGGCACATAGATTTTTTTTCCATGTAACATAATTCTGACAAAATTATATGCCAAAGGTTCAGAAATGAAAACTATAGGAGATTAAATATTATAATATGCCCAAACTGTGGATATATAAAGTAAATATTTATTTTCTTCCCCAAGCTTTAGGTTAGGGAAAGGGTCAAGAGTTGAACTTTCAGACTATGTCCAAGAAGCCTGACACTGTTGGAGCCCTCTCAGTACTATCCCTTGCAGTTGGGGACGGTCACAGCCCCATTGACACTGTACCGAGAGCCTGGTCCATTTGCTGTATACTGCAATCTCTTTCTTCAGTTCCTTTGGAGAGAGCCTTCTACTCTGTAACTGACCAGCTGTTCCAGTCATTCTGATCTACCACTTTTCAGAATAGAAATTTACAATACATTTAAAAATACTGTTAGTACCACAAGCTCTGTGGGTCACTTGGTGTTTATGAATGGTATATTGAATCCACTAGTGTAGAGCCAACTGTGGGCTTGAGTGATTCTGATTCAGAGCTCCCCCTCCTGCTCGCTTGGGCAGAAGACTCAGACTCAGAGTTGTCTCTGCCACATTTTGTTCTCCACTTTCTCCTCTGCTCCCCTGCCTTCTGTTGGCAAGGGCAGTTTTAATCTTGATTTCAGCAGTGTGTTATTTCCTCTGCTGGAATAGGAAAGAGCCCAGTTTTTTCCTCAGATGAATACTCTCTGAACCTCTGTACAGACAGCACCACGGTTCTGGCCCCAACCTTCTGAACACGCAGGTCCTCTAATCACTGATAGGAATCGGGCTTCCTATGCTCCCCCTTAGACACCAGTGTTTGGGGTGATACTTACAGCTTGATAGTTGGATTTTATTTCTGGGTTTTACTGGCTTTTTGGAAAACTGTCTTCCTCATGATTCGGTAAGTGGCTTGGTAGCCACTTGGTTTGGTGATATTTTGAAAATGACAGTCATTTACCTTCATCTTGTGAACACGTGTTTTCTACTTTGACACTGAAAATTAAGGAATTGCTTAACTGTCAGCACAGACTGATTCTGGATTGTCAGTGAGGATGCTTAATCTTAAATAAAAATAGTTTAAAATTCATCCTACAATTGAAATAGAGATGCCCTGTTGCTTCTGTCACCAAAACACTGATCGAATTTAAAGCTAATTAATGTTTCTGTTTGTCCTGTTGGTGTGTGTGTGTGTGTGTGTGTGTGTGTGTGTGTGTGTGTGTGTGTGTTGATTTTGTTCTGAGATTGATCCAAGACCTCAAGCATGCTGAGCCTGAGGCCTGCCATTAAGTGGCCCCCCCACCCCCATACACACACACAAACTTACCTTAAATCCAGAAGGAGGAGTCCCAGAACAGCACCTCCTTTTTTTCTTGGGCTTGTGCCTTTTTTTACTCATATTTTATTTGTACATATTCTTTTCATGGGCTTCCATCAGCACATTTTATATAATCATGAGTTAAAAAATAAGTTGAAGGTAAGAAATGAAAGTCAAATGAGTGTTGAGTAAATCCCTGAGAGAAATGTTAGTAGGAATTCAGTCTGGTGTATGTTTCAGTGTATCCGCTGACATGGCCTGGCTTATGAGCTACTTAATAAATGATGGCAGTTATTCACTTAATATTAGCTATTGTGCATTTTGTTGGTTATATCTTAGAAGTGAGAATGAAGCCTTTACATTGCCATGAAAGAAACAGGAAAGTCCTCACTCATGTATGGCTTTAAAGAGCCAACAGTGGCTTTAGACTTGTTTACTCATCTCATTATAGCTTTGTTTTCTCCTTAGGTACAAAATCCTCACCCTCAATTTAACACAGACAATTGGATTTTTAATTATTATTTTTGAGGCATCTAATTTTGAGGCAATATTAGTAGAATTCTATTTTTTAAATTTATTTTTATGTGAATGGGTATCTTGCCTGCATAATGAGTTCCAGGCCCGTCTAGGCAACTTGAAACCCTGTCTCAAAAATAGTGGGAATTCACCCCAAGCTGCAAAGGTGGTATTCAGGTCCCTTTATACCCCATGTTGTTTCCCCATTGTTGATAACATGTGTTAGTAATGGCCAACACTTACTGGTCTTGCCTTACACAGATTTTCTCAGTTTTTTTTTTTTTTCTTCTTTGTGTATGTTTTGTGTTCTGGGAACTCATGAATATTACATTTAGTCACCCTGTTTCTTTAGATGTCTCTTGGCTGTCATAGTTGTCCCATCCATTTTTATCCGTTGCATCAATAAATTATATCTTGATGCATTTGGATTGATCAGAAGCTGAAAACTACTTGCTGAAAGGTCAGCAAGTTAATGAAATATTTTTATTTGTAACTTTAATAAACTAGTTACCACTCAGGACATTTCACTGGTTTTGTACATAGTCTTAGGTTGTTTACCTGTTATGATCATTTCCCTGCTCAATAATACAAAGAAAGAAAAAGCATTTAAACACTGGACACGGAATACCTGGGTGGGTGGGGACAGAGGGAGTGTCAACCCATATGGGTCCTGAATTCGTGTGAAAGGGCAAGCCTGCCATTTCACCTGGACCTGGATGTGCATGGCGCATCTTACCCTGTCTTGAGATACTACAAGCAGAAAAGCCTTGATCTGGCTAACTAGATCTATAGATCGTGGTCAGTAGGTTGTTTTTCTCTCCCTCCTTCCTCCTCCTTCCTTTCTTTGTGCTTTTTTTGTTTTGTTTTGTTTTGTTTTGTTTTTGTTTTGTTTTTGAGACAGGATCTATCTACATAACCCTGGCTGGCCTGGAACTACTCTGTAGACAGGCTGGCCTCAAACTTAAAGATCTGACTGCCTCTGCCTCTTAATTGCTGGGATTAAAGGAGTGTGCCAGCATGCCCACCTTAAGTAGGGTCATTTTTAGTAGTAGAAGGTGTAGTTAACAATATAAATCTCTATATATGTGTGTTTCTGCCAAGAGTAACCAATAAGAATCTTAATACTATTCATATGCTACTTGCTTTGAATATTAAAATTTTGACTGGAAGTTGCAGCTCCCCAGTACTGTTGGGAACATAGCCAGCAGGTGGCAGCAGTTACTATGTCATTAAAAACAGGCTCTGGCCCTGATCACACACACCTGGGTGGGTTGAGCCAAGAGCCATTCATGATGGCTTGAGTAGTTCAGTCTGGGTAACATAGCAAGACTGACTCAAGAAACTGGTAGTATTTTGTGGTGAAAGCAGTTTCAATTTCTAGGCTCTTTTTTATAATGTATTTTATGTGCATTGGTGTTTTGCCTGCATGTATGTCAGTGTGAGGGTGTCAGATCTTGGAGTTACAGTTGTGAGCTGCCTGATGGGTGCTGGGAATTGAACCCCGGGTCCTCTGGGAGAGCAGTCAGTGCATTTAACCACCAAGCCATCTCTCTAGCCCCAATTTTTAGGATTTTGATTTTTCCTTGGAAGATACAACATGATAACAGCAAGACAGAAATGACAGTGTTGCAAAAAACTTTTAAGGGCACTCAAAAGTATCTTAGATCCATTCTTGGTATTTTATACAATTGCTCTGTAGCAAAGTGCCACACCTGACAGTCATACTTACCTTTAGCCATTCCTGACATAAGCAATTAAGTTATATACGATACTCTCAAATAGGATGAAGAGACACTGGTACCCGCTGATACCATTGCCTAAACTCAGCCTACTAACAGTTTGTGTCAAGAAAGCTATGGTTGGTAGAGAGTATTTTGTTTTGAAACAGGGTCTCACTGTATAGCTCTGTATATAGAGAATAGTCTTACTGTGGACTGTTGGGATATTACAAATGCTAAGAGACCAATGAAGATAAGCCAGCAAAGGACACTGAGTGACCAGTCATCTCAGAACAGCAGATGTGATCAGCCTTGTAGCATGCTGCGCATAGGTCAATAACAGGAACTCTAATGACTGCCTCTAAGCCATCCATGCTTAGAGCACTGGGGAATGTGCATATGTGTGAAATCTGGAGTGTGTGTGAAAAAGAATGGGGTATCATAAAGGAAAATAAGCTTAAAGTAAAAACCACGAGCTCTCTTCCTAGGTCATTCAGAGAACCGAGGTCACAGGTTAACTTCCACCATAAAAGGGAAGCAGAAAAATACACATTTGTCCTTTGTCTTAAGGGGGGCCTTCACATCTCTGTGGCTTCCAGGCACCTCACAGCTCTCACTGAAACAGTGCATGCAGGGGACTGGAGTCGGGGAAAACACCGTAGGACCATGACAACACACACACACCCACACACTGCATAAACACACACAGCACAGACTCTGTTGTGCTTTGAGCAGAAGAACGGAAGGGAGCCACTGAAACACTTAAGTAGCTCCATACTTTGTTCACAGACAAGCCTGACCTGGGACAATCATTTTGCTAGCTCCTTCTCTGGCCCACTATTGTGAGGGCAACTGGATGTCTCAAGGCCCCTTCTGGCCTTCCCGTCTCATGAAGGATGGAGAAGGAGGAGTAGTGGTGGGGGAAGAGAGCTGGGAAAACTTCCAACCCAGTGGTTTTCCCCTACTGGGAGTGGAGTGGATGGGGGTGGGGGGTGTCACAAACAAATCAATGTTGCTCCTCTGTAGCAGGGGTCATCAGTGGGGTTCCTGAGAACCTGGATGACCACTGAGAACAGGAAGTCTCATGCAATATAAGGCTTTTTAAAAAGAAAACCCAAAGACAAGGGGAGAAAACAAAACATGGAACATGGGACCTGTAGCCTCCAGCATAACTCCAGCAAACATTAGGCTAATGTAAGTAACATGACTACATGAAAGGTTTGCTGGCTTTAGCTCCTATTCCCAGTCCAGCAGGTCCAGATTCCAATGTAAAACAATGCCAGAAGGGAAGCAGACACAATGGAGACATCAGACACAGACTTAGATATCTATGACATAGACTTTGGAGTTGACGGAGAAGTGACTATAGTTAACACATCTAAAGTCTTCAGTAACAACACATGAAAGGATAGAATGCCAGCTAGATACGAAACTAAAGCCCAAAAGAAAGTTAAACGTTAAACATAGTAAATGGCCACAAATGTTCTTGAGTGGGCTCATCAGTAGACTAGACACAGCCAGGGAGGGATCTGAGAGCTTGGAGAAGTGTCAATATAAACTCTGTCCTTGTGAGGCTTCTGTTTGGCAGGAAATAAAACACCTGCCTGTAAGCAGTTCTGAGAAGAGAGTTGGGCAGCGTTTAGGGAATAGGGCTTGTGGTTTTATGTGTAAGGTGGGGGAGATGGCTCTGGTAAATGGCATTTGAGTAGGGGGACCAGTGGCCTGGGCTCTGTTTCCAAATCTATGGAGCAGAGGTATCTGTAGATGATGACTTACACTTATGTCCATGATAGTTTTTTACTAAACAAAGTGAAACCTAGTCATTCTATTCATTCTTGCTGAAGTATCTTTCCCTTTTGTGGATATTAGGCTTGCTGTTGTATAGATTCAGCTTGGCCTTATCAACTATGTTATTGAGATAGGGTTTTGCTGTGTGGCCCAAGCTACCCTTGAATTCATGATGATCCTGACTTAACAAGGTTTACATTGTATATCCAGCCATTAAGCCTTTCTAATCAAACTTGGTCTGGCCAGTGGGGGAAGAAGTCCCATTCAGCTGGCCGCTTTGTGCTCTCAACACTGCGGTACACACCTTGAAAGCATCTTTATTTTCTAAGATTCTTACAGGCCCAGTATGATCTTTGCCCCAGATGAATGATGTGTTGCAACTTCTCCAAGAAGCTCACATTGTCACAGGGGTGCATGTCCCACTTGACCTACAAAGGCACTGACTGGTGTATTTTGGAATAATCTTTTTATACACTGTGAACATGTGTCACTCCTACTGGTTTAATAAAAAACCTGAATGACCAATAGCTAGGCAGGATTTCCAGGCACAGAGAATGCTGGGAAGAAGAGGAGGAGTTGGGGAGTCACAAGGAGATGTGGAGAAAGCATGACATGAGCCACGTGGCATCACTTAATAAATGGAAATGTGTTCATTTAAGTTGCAAGAGCTGGTTAGAAATAAGCCTAATCTATAGGTCAAGCTTTCGTAATTAACAGTAAGTCTAAGTCTCTGTGTCATTTTTTTGTGAGCTGGTGACCCAAAGAAGAGATCAGCAGACAATAGCTGTGCTTGTGAGACTAGGGTATTGTGTATTCCTCATTAGTTTATTTAGGGGTATGCCTTAATCACTGCTCTATCGCTATGAAGGATCACAACATCCAAGGCAACTCTTTTTACTAAGCAAATCTCTTAAGATTTATTTATTTTTACAGTGTTCTGCCTGCATGTATGCCTGGAGGCCAGAAGAGGGCACCAGATCTCATTACGGATAGTTGTGAGCCACCATGTGGTTGCTGGAAATTGAACTCAGGGCCTCTGGAAGAGCAGCCAGTGCCCTTAACACTGAGCCATCTTTCCAGCCCCTGAAGGCAACTCTTACACAAAAGCATCTAACTGGGGTCAGTCTGTTATTATGGTGGGGAGCATGGTGACATGTAGCCAGGCAAGGCACAGGGCAGTAGCTGAGCTACAGCCTAATCTGCAAGCAGAGAAACTCTGGGCATGGCCTGGGCTTTTGAAACCTCCAAGCCCACCTTTGGTGACTGGCATCCCCAAACAAGGCCACGCCTCCCAATCCTTCTCTTTTCAAGTAGCATTCAAATACGTGAGCCTATGGGGACCATCCTTATTTTAACCACCAAAGGTCCATTTCACTCCCTACTAGATGCTTTTCCTGCTTATTATTTTACCAGTTCTGTGTCGACCTGTCAAGCCATAGTCTTGCTAGGTTTGCTGATGAACCCTGACTTTCAGTTACTCTCCAGGGGAAAAGTAGGGTTCAGTGGCAGCTCTTAAAACACTTCCCAAAGCACTAAACTCATTTTCCTTTTCAGTTTTGTTCAACCTCAGAATACAGTTAACACCCCTTCCCCACAAAGGCTTCCTGTACCATTTACCGCTTCCCATTATCTGTGATTTAGTCACATTTCTCCTGTGTGCAGCATCTAGGCAGCACCCATTCTCAGCCCCCAGCGCCAAGAAAAAGGCTGCAGACTGCAGGCTGTGGCCCACACTCTCCCTTCTTTCAACACATGTCTACAGAGGTTGCCCAAATACATTTTCAGACGATGACCTTCTGCACTCTGGGGAAGTTTTGAGTAAAAATGGCCACCATAGGCTCATATATTTGAATGTCATGGTTCCCAGTTAGTGGACTATTTAGGAAGGATTAAGTGTGGCCTCCTATGTCACTGTGGATGGGCTTTCAGCTTTCAAAAGCTCATACCAGGCCAAGTCTCTCTTTGTTTGCCTCCATCCTGCAGATGTAAGCTCTCAGCTACTGCTCCAGCATCATGCCTGCCTGCTGCTGCACTCAGTCATGATGATGATGAACTAACCCTCTGAAACTGCAAGCAAGTCCCAATTAAATGGTCTTTCTTCTGTAAGTGGCCTTGGTCATGGTGTCTCTTTACAGCAATGGAATAGTGACTCAGGAGAATGTCAAAACTCACAAATGACTCATCTTGTTTGAAAATATTAGATTTAATAGAAAACATCACATTGTAAACATGTCTATTGATTAATTAGCTTAACAAAGAACAGCACAATCACATATAAAAACTAAACAAAAATGCTGGAACTAAGCACAGTACTTCTAGAGGAGCCTGGGCCAGGATCTGAAAAACCTCTCCTGGGAAAAGGAAACTGTCGCTTCAGACAGGCACAAAGACAGGAGGAGGCAGTGACCACTCCACAGAGGCTGGAGAAGATAAACACAGGCCTAGCAGAGGAGCCTGGGATGGGGGCCTGAAGGACAAGTGGGCAAAGGGTTGTATTTCTGATGCTCTGAGACCACCAGAGGACACCTCGCAAACCTGAGTGGTGGGAAAGACAGGGTGGTTTAAGCACGGTGACAATACTAATGTGTGTATAATCTTGTCACTCAGCTCTGATGATGCAGGAGAGTGAAGCACATGTGTGTGGAGGTGCCAGCTTTCCATCATGGGTAAACAACACTGAAATCACGGCCATGTCTACCACATTACTAGGGAGTGTATAAGAACCCTTTGAAAAAAACATGAGTCTGGGGGGGAAAGGGTTTCCACCTTTCTCCTGATGGAATCTTGGAGAGAGAGCAAGACATGGTTGGCTTTTGGAAACTGAGTTTATCTGTGGAAGCCACCTTAGCCTCTACACCCCCTCTTGTGCCAAAACCTAACCAGAAAACCTGTTTATAGGAAGGCTAGCTGTTGATAGCAAGTACAGACATCCCTACAGACTTGGTTCCTTGTGCACAATTCAGCTTCTGGAAGTGTGTTCAAGAACAATGATCTCAATGGGTACACCTGCAAAAGAGGGGCCCTCAAGACTCCAAAAAAATTGTGTCCAAAGTGCACAAGCCCTAACTAACCCCTGCCCACTAAAGAGCAAGTGCACATACAGATGGACTTCTCAGTGGGAGTGTGCTGGCCATGTGTATCAGGACGGAAGGAGAGCCAAGAGTCCTCATTTGGGTGTGATTACAGTCAATGACGGAGATCTTCTCTATTGTTACACAAAAATCAAATCATGAAAAGGGGCAGAAGGTTGGAGATATAGCTCAGTAGAGCACTTGCCTGACATGTGGCAAGGCCATAGGTTCAAACCCCAGTACTGAATGAAAAAGAAAGGTAAAAGTTATAAACACTGTTCTCCATAGCTAAACTCAATGTTCTCCACAGTCAGTACATGCCTAGCCAAGGGTCTGCAGCAACCACAGTGAACTGAAGCAAAGTAATTCTACTCTTTTATAGACAATTTCCAGAAAGACCTTCCTGTCTCCGAGGTACTCAAATGTCTTGGCACAGGCTAGTCGCTGTATGGCTTCTTAGCAGCCTGGCTTTTCTCAATTTCCTTCTCCTTGATACTGTACAGGGGGTCCACCAACTTGTTATGAACAAGCATTAAACCTGTAACAGATTTAAAGCAAACAGTAGTCAATGTAGGCAGAGGCGGAAGTTCACAATTGTCAAGAGGAACACAGGCTCTCAAGTGGCCCAGCAGACCTTGATCTGTGATCTCCAAACACTCAACACTTGATTCTGGGGACCAACAGAGTTCGCAACTATGTCAGCTGGACCACTGTGGGAGAGGGCTGTTTAAAGATTAATCTTTTTAGCAAAGGGCAAATTCTATTTAGTTGGTTAATGAATGAGGATTGTCACATAAGATTTCTTACAGCTAGGGTTTTACCATTACTGGGCAGGCACTCTAGAAAAGCTACTCTCAACTGTCCTAGTATGTATCCTCGAAACAAAGGTTCCCAGCTAGCTGGTTTAGTGCCCCAACTACAGGAGCAGTGCCTGTACGAGATGTGACAGGGAAAATGAGAGGCTCCATGTCTTGTGAGACTACCGCAGCCCTATGGTCTGTACCTACATCTCCTTGTCTCCTCAGTCACCATCTCCAGAGACAGACTCTCCATCTTCCAGTCAGACAGAAAAAGGAATGACCAAATTGTGGAACTGTAGGGCTTGATTATTATTTAGTTTATTATTACTGAGATCATAGGTGATGGGCCAGCAAGATGGCTCAGTGGGTAACGGTGCTTGCTGCACAAGCCTAGCTACCTAAGTTCAATCCTCAGAACCCACATAAGGTTGAATGGAAAGAACCAATTCCACAACTGCTTTCTGATCTCTCTCTCTATACACACACACACACCACACCACACAGGTGCTGATTAAAATAGAGTAAGTTGGGTGTGGTAGTAATAACTCTAATTTCAGCACCCAGGAGTCTGAGGCAGGATTACAACTTGGAGGCTATAAAGTGAGACCCTGTCTGAAAACAAAAAAAAAAGTACTGGGTGTGGTGGTACATTCCTTTAATCCCAGCACTCAGGAGGCAGAGGCAAGTAGTTCTCTGTGAATTCAAGGCCAGCCCATTGTACGAAGTCAGTTTTGGTCAGCCAGAGCTACCCAGTGAGAGACCCTGACTCAAATAAAGCAAAGAAAACTCAGAGAGACCCTGACTTGAAGCAAAACCCAGAATGAAAGCCAGATCCACACCTCTCCCTCCTTCCCTCCCTCCCTCCCATCTGCCCTCCCTTCCTTTCCCTACCTCCCACCCAAGCCTGCCTAGAGCTCTCTGCTGCCTGAGCCTTACCTTTGAAATACTTGACTGTCTTTACTTTTAGCTCCAAGGTGGCATCCTCGTCACATACAAACACGGTGCGGGGATGCTGCTGGAAGGCGGACACAGTCCACATATGGTTCACACCTTCCTCGATGGCCTTGTACAGAGCAAAAGCCTTGTGAGCGCCTGTGATGAGGATCATCACCTAGGGATTAGAAAACAGGCCAGTGATGGAGACAAGACATCGTGGGAAGCCATGGGCCAGCGATGGAGACGAGGCAGCATGGGAGGCCATGGTGGGAGTTGTCTGGGGCCCGTGGTCAACTCTCACAAAGGTTGCCCCTACATCTACTGTTTTCATTTCAGAGCATTGAAAGCGCTAGTGTGATAGGCATGGTGTTTCTGTTTTCAGAAGACAATGATGTGGCTGCACTCCAGAGCTAAGATACCAAGAACACACATGCTGAAAGGTGACCCCGAGAAACTCAGCTCTGCGGATGCCCTTCACCTGAAGTCCTCCACTCCCACCTCAGAGCAGACAACAGGATCACTGCTTCTTCCCTTTTTTGAAAAAATTTAAGACAGGGTCTCACTACATTTAGCTCTGGCTGGCCTAGAACTTGCTCTGTAGATCAGGCCGGCCTTGAGCTCGAGATCTGTCTGGCCCTGCCTCCCCAGTGCTGGGATTAAAGGTGTGCACTACTACTGCTCCTCTTAAAGAACTGAACACAGAGGCTCAGTGAGGCGACTTTGGTTCTAAAAGCCCTAACACACATTCCACTCTTGGTCCATTTTCCAGGTCTTATGTGCCTGGCCTCCAAACCCTTGTACTTCTAAGAGGCAAGCACTGATTCAGGCCACCTACTTTTCCAATGATTCAGATGCTTAGTCACAGACTTGAGCAAAGAAATTGGAAAGTAACTATCTACAGCCATTTCCCACAGAGTATAATACCCGGGAAAGACAAAGAAAACACTTTGTTTGCAGCCAAGCCTGACAACCTGAGGTCTGTCCCCGGGTCCCACACGGTGGAAGGAGAGAACTGACTCACAAAGTCATCCTGTGAACTCCACGAGTGTCCTGCCACAGGCAATTGCATATACATATATACAGACACAATGAGAAATGATTTTCAGGTGGTGGTGCACACCTTTAACCCCAGCACTCAAGAGGCAGAGGCAGACGGATCTCTGTGAGTTCAAGACCAGCCTGGTCTACAGAGCTAGTTCCAGGATAGGCTCCAAAGCAATACAGAGAAACCCTGTCTTCAAACCCCCCCCCCAAAGAAAGAATAAGATAAAATATAATTCAGACACAGTAGGAAATTGAAACTACAAAAATAAAATAAAATTAAATTAAAAGATACCTGATTTTTAAAGAGAAAAACCTCTCTACAGTCTAATTACATCTAACTGTACTTATTGCCCTCAAGCACAAGGCTATAGACACAGCATTCTTGGGTTGCAGGAGCAGAGTCCTTTCAAACAGTAAACCATAGGGACCAAGTAGCTCCTCGGTAGGTACCCAGGCAGGTAAATGTCTTAGTCTTCCACCAGTGGTGCCAGAAGCCTCTGCGTACAAGTATAAAAAAGAGGTACACAAGCAGAGAGAGCCAGCCCAGGCTCTGGTCCAGATGATTGCCCTCACCCCAGGGACGACCTCACCTCTAAAGGCAGAAGACAAGCAGTGTCAAGGCCAGCTGGGATTTTAGCTTTATCTATGAAGAGTTCAGTTAATAAGAATGTATACTTGGTGCCTGTATAGCTTAAAATGAACAATAAAATAAGCCCTCTCTCCAATCTTAGCAAAGGCTTGCAGGCAGAGCCTTGAACCCTTACCTCTCTAGCATCCATCACAGTGCCTACACCCACCGTCAGGGCCATGGTGGGCACCTTGGCAAGATCGCCATCAAAGAATCTAGCATTAGCCAGGATGGTGTCCATGGCCAGAGTCTTCACACGGGTCCTGGACACCAGACTGGAACCTGGCTCATTGAAAGCAACGTGTCCGTCTGGGCCGATGCCTGTGCAGATGAGAGAGCAGCACCATGAGTCCCAGGGACCAGAAAGTTAAAAAGCAACAGTCTTTCCTGCTCTGGAAAAAAAAAAAAAATCTTTGAAAACTACATTTCTTCTCTCATTTGTACCTTAAGTCAGGTCTACGTCAAACATGTGACTTCCCTCCCCACCTCTTCTACTTGAGGCACACACAGACTCTGGTAACATGTTTCTACCCTGAGATAGCTTAGAACTGTGTAAAATAGCTTCCCTCCCACTCCAGACTGTGGGGGAGTACAACTTCTCCCTCCCTCCTGCCCAGAGCTAGAATCCAGCAAACCAAACTCTATCTAGGACCTGCAAACTCCTGCCCTCCCCTCTATTAGTTCTTTCCTTCTCTTTCTCTTTCTCCTCCCCTCCCCCACTCTCTCCAGAGTGTCTTATGTAGCCATGCTCACCTCCAACGAAGAGCTCAATCCCGCCTGCAGCCCGGATCTTCTCCTCAAAGGCATCACACTCGACCTGCAGGTCAGCTGCATTCCCATCCAGTATGTGGGTGTTTTCAGGGCGGATGTCAATGTGCTTGAAGAAATTATTCCACATGAAGGAGTGGTAGCTCTCTGGGTGCTCTCGAGGAAGACCTGTGGGACCAGGGGACACTCAATCAGGCCAAGGCTAAGCCAGAGCCCTCCTCCCAAGGACAATGCTGGGAGGTCATACTGGCCACAGGTTCCCTTGGGAGACTGTCCATCTGACCCCCGACCATGTAGGACACACTGGGCTGTAATCAACCATGGCCATTATCTGTGACTACAAGCTGGGCTGGGATGTAGCTACATATTGGGGAGTGCGGGGGGGGGGGAAATCTCATTGTGATCCCCACTGTACTTCAGTGATAGAGCATTTGCCTAGCATGTATGAGACCCTCAGTTTGTCTTTCACACCAGCTTAGGGTTTGGGGGGGGGAGGGGGCAAACACTCATCACCTTTTCATAAGGGAATGATCACAAGATGCAGTCTAGGAACACAGTGTAGCTAGAGGTGGCTTTCCCACCTGGATGGTAAGGCTGAGTCCATGCGGATAGAAGCAACCACATTCTTTACCCTGGGCCTTCTACCCCACCCTTCATTCCATCGTTCCCCACTAACCCTGAACTCCAACCTAAACACTAAGCGCCTAGAGAGAATATCAGAACGTCTCAAAACCGAAAGATGTTTTTGAAAAATTTCAATGTGTAGAATATTTAAAACCATGCCTTTAAAACTAGCACTCAGGAGACAAAGCGGGGTGGAGAATCTCTAGGAATTCAAGGTCAGCCTGATCTACACAGTAAGTTCCAAGCTAGCCAAGGTTGTATAGTGAGACCCTGTCTTAAAACATTTGAACCATTTTAAACCAGAGACAAAGAATTTTTATCAGTGGTAGAGCACTTGCCAGGGATACCCCTGGTGTTGGGTTCAATCCAGCTATGCCAAAATCAAAGGAAAATTTGTCTCAAAACATATTTAAAAGCAGCAATGGCCAAGAGGTGGTAGCAAGCGCCTTTATGGCAAACACCTTTAATCCCAGCATTGAGGAGGCAGAGGCAGGCCAATCTTTGCGTTTGAGGACTACAAAATGGGATCTAGGACGAGGCTACCTAGTGAGATCATGTCTAAAAAAAAAAAAAAAAACAGATGGCAAGATGGCTCAGTTGGAAAAAGTATTTGCCCCCAAGCTTGGTGGCCTGATCTCCAGGACCCACATGGTGGAAGGACATAACAGAGTCCAGCAAGTAACCCTCTAATCTACACACGCAATAAATGGATGTATTTTTCAAAATACATTTAGTCTTTAAAATGAAAGAAATTGCTGTGCATAGTAGTGCATACTTGTAATCTTAGCACTCCAGAGGAAAAGTAAGAAGATCACAAGTTCCAGGACAGCTTGGGCACAGCAAGATCCTACTTCAAAAAACCAAAAGGGGAAAAAAATTCTGGTACATACCATAAATGGAAGAATGCTATGTGAAGAAGCCAGGCACAAACAGCTAAATACATTCATTACCTGACTCCCATGAGGTGCCTGGAGAAGTCAGGTTCTGGGGAACAGAGTAAACTGAATGCAGACGAGACTTCTGAACTGTACATTAAAAAGTGCTGGATCCTTTGGAACTGGAGTTACAGGTGTTGTAAGCCACCTGAGGTGGGTGCTGGGAACTGTACTTGGGTTCTCTGCAAGAAACACTCACCCACATACTCGTCCATGTTGAAGGTTTTCACGTACTTAAAGGACAGGTCCCCATTCTTATAGTACTCAATCAGCTTCTTGTAGCAACCAAGTGGAGTGCTCCCTGTGAAGAATGCCACATCTTCAGTCACAGCTACACTCCAGCCCCATCTACCATCCAGCTATGCCATGCTTGGGGCCTAACGCCCACTGGACTGTCAGGCTCCAGGGGACAGGACTGTGAGGGTGTCCCAGGGCCAGCCACACAGCTACAGGAGTCACTGATGTCTGAGTGAGTATCAGACATGATTACTGATGTGATGTTCTAGGAGAGACCACTGTAGAAATGGGGATACAGTAGGGATGAGAGCTGTGACAGGGTCACCCTCTACTTCAGAGTCCAGGGAAGACCTATCAGAAAAATAGCAAAAAAGTCTTGGGTTGAGTCGCCTGAGCAGGTAAGCAAACAGACAGCAGGACTACAAGAGAGTCAAAGACTGAAGAAGGGAGCTGATGGACCCCATCGCCAGCAACACTGCAGAAGAAAACAAAAAATACAGGCACCCTGATTGGGTATCCCACTAATTTAAAACTAAACTTCCAAGATGGGGTGTGGTCAAGGGGGAGGCTTGAAGACCCAGGATTAGTCCCTAGCCAGGCCTGCTGACAAGGAGAAGGAAATGGAACCTAATGTGAAATACTGGGGAAAGGTTCTGAACATAGGCTGGGGATCAGACAATATTGCAGAGTGCTGTGCAGCCTTGTCTCTAGGACTGAAGTGGTGTGGGGATTATGACCAAAGTCCTCATTCTTGGGAGGTAAGGGCTGTAAGATTTAAGGTAAAGTGTCACGATACCTGGAATTTACTTTCATGTGGCTCTAACAACAAATTATAAGGGTACACAGACAATAAGAACCAAATAGAAAAGCAAATGTGCCGAGGTATTAATTGGTGAATCTATGGAAATAGTATTATGCTATTCTGATGATTTCAATTTTTTTGAATATTTGAAATTTTTTTTTCAAAATAAAAAGATGTGGAAGGGGCCAGGCAGTGGTGGCACACACCTTTGATCTCAGCACTCGGAAGTCAGATCTCTGTGAGTTCAAGGCCAGCCTGGTGTACAGAGTGAGTTCCAGGATAGGCTCCAAAGCAATACAGAGAAACCCTCTCTCAACCCACCCCCCCAAAACAAACAAACAAAACCAAAAAACAAACAAACAAAAATCCAACCAAGCCAAAAAGATGTGGGAAGGGAAAAGCTCAGCCTCATCCACATCACTCTCCTTTCCAAAACCCAACCATGTCTCCTCCCTGCCTCATAATAACTAATCTCACAAAGGCGCCACTGTCCTCTCTATAGGGGATGCTCTTCCTTCAAGTAACCTCAGGGCTAGCTCCCTTCTTCATGTTTTCCTCAATGCTGCCTTCCCAGAGACCTTCTCTGCCACCGCACCTGACCCAACGCCCACTAAGCTCACTGCACAGCCTTTCTCCTGTGTCGTTCTCTTTTCCTGTTGCCTTCTAAAATACTCTATATTTTGTTAATTAACTTGCTTACTCTCTCTTTCTCCACTATAATTTAAGCTTAAAAAGTAGGAATTTATGCCTTTTGTTTTGAATGTTGTCACTATATCCTTAGAACCTTAACTGCTTGGCTTACAGGCACTCAAAAACTTCTCTACTAACTGGGGCTGGAGAGGTGGCTCAGCAGCTAAAAAGATGTAGTGGCTGGGCATGGTAGTTCAGGTCTTTAATCTCAGCACTGGGGAAAGAGTCAGGCAGATCTGAGTTTGAGCCTAGCCTGGTCTATATAGCCAGCTCCGTGACAGACTAAGGCTTCCTAGTGAGATCCTGTCTCAAAAAACAAAAAAGATTTTCTTTTAATTATGTGTATGTGTGAGAATGTGCATGTGAGTACAGTGCTCTACAGACTCCAGAAGATGGCCTTGACTCTCCCAGAGCTGGAATGAGCATACTAACATTGGTGTTGGGAATTGAACGCAGGTCCTCTGCAAGAACAGTAGCGCTGAGATGCTGAGCCATCTCTCCAGCCCTAACATTGGTTTTAAACTTTTGATATCGTCTTTAAAAATCAAAAGAATATTTCATGATATGAAAATTATGTAAATTACATTTTCAGTGACTACAAATAAAGTTTTATTGACATATAGCAACACACATTCATGTACATATTGTCTGCGGCTGTTTTCCTTTCTGCAGTGGCAGAATGAGCAGCTATAATATTGAAGCCTGAAATATTTACTGCTTAGGTAATCTGCTGAAAAAGCTTGAAGGCCTCTTTTTAGTGGATGGATCAGACAAAACCACAGAAGACCCACTTGTGAAAGAAATATTTATGAGGCACCAGACCAAAATATCTTCCTGTAAAAGTAATATTCTGACTTTTTTCAGAAGACATTGGTTTTATGATCAATTAAGCTTCATGGAAAATTATTTGAATGACTACTTTCTCAATTCTCCCATGACCAATACTTAGCTAGTATCCCTCCCCCCCCCATATGCAGAGAGTAGAAATTAATCTCATAAAACAAACATCTCAGGGCACCAAGGTTGAGTTAGGATGTCAATCCTGCTGAAGAACCAGCCTGCCTCCATCTTGGGCTCAAGAGCCATCTTATAGTAAAGACAAACTAGGTTCATTCCTGTTTATGATTAAATCTTTGTTTCTCAAGGACTGTTAACCCACCTGTAATTTTAACTACAAATTGCTGGTTCCAGGAATGGCAATCACGTTTTTGTTTCAAAAAGCTATTTATAACCATCTCGAAACCTTACCTTTGTTTCGAAAGGTTACATGACCCCCTATGACTACCTTGTTATGACTACCTGTTGTTATTACCTTCTTTTTGACCACCTGTTATAGTCTGCTCCCATAACCCCACCTATCCTCCCCCCTCAACTTGGAAGCCCCCTACCCCTGAGCTCTATAAAAGCCTTGTCTTCCTCACATCCAATGCTACCCTCTGAAATCCCAACTTTGGGAAAGACAGCCAGCTGGCCAGTTCCTGGTACACCTCTAAATAATGCCTCGTTTAATTAGACATTCGTGCAATTGGTTTTTCTCAGGTCTAACACTACCTCACCAAGATCTCTGTTGTTCCAGGATTTTATAGGAATAGGCAGCCACTGAACAGGAAGCCAGGTGCCTTTCCTCTCTATGTGGAGGGCACCACAGCAACAGTGCTTTAATCCACCTTTTAAAGTCTGTCTGCCCCTTCACATACCACCCTCTCTTTCCCACAGCATACCGGTGGGGAGCCCCATGGTGAAGTATTTGTCAGGCCCAGGGTTAAACTGGATGATGCGGTTCCTAATGTACTTGGCAGCCCACTCACTGGCCTGTGAATAGTGTTCCAGGATAATCAGCTTCATCTTGTCCTGCAGCATGGAGATAACAAGCTGAATTAAAGGAAGGCAGGGGGCAGAGAGGGCTGGGGAGTGGGATGAAGTCCCTCTAAAGTGGCCACAGCCTTCTCCAAATTCACACAGGTGAACAGGCTGGGCCGGGTGCCATGCCGACCACCAGGAGGCAGTACTGTGGGGTCAGTTCTTGGCTGGGGAGGGCCTCCAACGCCCCAGAATTTTCTTCCTGCCTAAAACAACCTCACGATAGGGCGCAGTATAGGAGAGGCCGCTCCTGAACCACACTGCATAGAGTCGGCGGGCCACGGTCACCTAGCAACAGGGCCCGTTCCTGCCCACATCCTCATCCTCACCCAGGTCGGGTCCTCCGCCTCGGGCTCCCTTCGCTATCAGAGCGGCCGCGGGGTCACCTTGGGGTACTAGTGGAGGAGGCGGCGAGTCCTGGAGAGGGGTGCGGTGCTTCGAGGGTCCTCAGTTTCCCCCCAAAGTACCAACGGCTACAGGTAACCCTGCGGCAGGAATGCTAGTGGCTCGGCGTCGGTTCCCCGCCCAGACTGCGCTCGCGTTAGCCCTCGGGCCCGTCGGTGACCCAGGACCGGGGGCCGGGGGCTCCCGCTGGGTCGCTCCCACTTACACACACGCTTCCCGCGGCTGCGGAGGTTTCAGCACTGGCCGCTGGGCCCGCGCGGGTCACGTGGCCGCGGGTCACGCGGTGCGCGCGCCGCCAGCTGACTCAGGGCGGCCCTGCCCTGCCCCGACTGCGGCCACCTGACCTGGGGGAGGGGGGTGGAGGCGGTGTGTGTGCGGTGTGTAAACCTAGATGTTAGTGCAAAGTGGATCGCCGAGACCTGGGGCGGGGGCGGGAAGAGGTGGAGAGGGAGGGAGAGAGAGAAACGAACGAGAACGTAGATGTTAGTGCAAAGGGGACCGTCCGCGACTCTGGCTGCTGACTGCGACCCTGGCCCAGCTCAGCCTGAAGTGGGGTGCACACAGACACAGCAGCGGCCCTGGATAAGGGTGCACTGTGCGGGGCTTAGGAGAGGCGTATTCTAAATGACTGAGCACTGGCTGTGCTTCTCAGGGGCTCTTGACACCGCTTAATCTGCAGCTAAATCTGGTTTTAGTGTGTGCTTTTTTTTCTTATCCACAGAAGTCTTACCTGGAAAAGGATTTTTTTTTTTTTTTTTTTTTTTAAAGTATAGTTGTGTAGACTCGTGACTACAGAGTGGAACAGAGATACAACATCAAAGGGTTCCCTCTGTGTGCGCGTCACAAGGAAGCTGGTCGAAGGGCACAATCACTGCCCTTTCAGTAATCGCATTTGTGATGTCTCTCGGAGGGGGACTACTGTTCCCTTGCAAGTAGTCAGTTTAGTTACTTAGGTCGAAATTCTTGGATGTTAGCCAGCAAGAGATGGAAATCAGAACAAGGAGAGGAAGAAGGGCCCTTTCCATTCTATGCCTACCCTATTTCCTGGCTGGCTGGCTGTGTTTAAACTTTGTAGTATTATGTGTGTGTGTACACAAAAAAAGACAAGTCTCTGCACCAACTATACACATCAAAACAATTGTTCTCAGTGTGCATCCAAACTGTCTGTCTGTCTCTTTCCTTCTTTCTTTTTTTGAGTCAGGGTCTCTCTATATAACTCTGGCTGTCCTGAAACTCATTATGTAGACCAGGCTGGCCCCGAAATCGCAAAGACCAGTCTTGCATCTACTTCTTTAGTGCTCAGATTAAAAGCATGAACCACTATAACACATAATCAAAAGACACAGACAGATACTGGTGGTCAAGCAAAGACCAGAGAAGCAAAGCGGCCAGCCACGAGCTCTACCTCTCTACGTCACCTCAAACTGCTCCCAACTTCACTGCCATGCTTTCCTCAACACGGCTAGAGACTAACTCTCAGATTGAATGCCAGCTCTGAGATCCTGTTCCTGTCTTATATGCCTCCCTAATGCTGGGATTAAAGAAAGGCCTGTGATCCCAGGTGCTGAGATCACCTTTGTGTGAGCTGTTTCTTCTAGGACTGGATCAATTTTTGTGTAATCAGGCCTTGAACTAACAGAGATCTGTCTAAATCTCAATCCTGAGTCCTGGAATTAAAGGTGTGTCCCACCACCTCCTAGCTCTAAGGCTGCTGGGATTAAAGGTGTGTGTCACCACTGCCCGATCTCTATAGCTTGAGACTGGCTTTGCTTTCTGAATCTTCAGGCAAGTTTTAATAAATCATAAATAATATTCACCACATAGGAAGCCAAAACAGGAGCCACATTGTTATTATGTCTCCATACCTTGCAAGAATAAGCTTCTGTTTTCTAAGCCTTGAGCCCTTGGTCCCTTACTTTTCTGTCCAGGTGCTAAAAGCCTATTATCTCCACAGCTGTTTTCCATCAGCCCTAACTCTTTCCCCATAAAGGGGACCTCAAAAGCCAGTGAGCAGCTCCTCTCTGAAATCTCAATAATAAAAACCCAGAAACATATATTGGGGTTCAAGCTGAAGATCAGAGAAGCAAAGCAGCCAACCACAAGAGAGTTCTTACCTCTACCAAGGCTGAGACCAAAGTAGGATGATCCTGTCCTCAGTGTGTCTGCAGACTGCCCTGCTCTCCACCAAAACTCAGACTCCCTTATATTCCCCTCTAGGGCTGGGATTAAAGGTGTGCCATCCCAAGTGCAGGGATCAAAGGTATGACTTCTGTTTCTCTTTTAGACTGACTCACTCCCATGTAGCCCAGGGTAGCCTTGAACTCACAGAGATCCATTTGCCTCAGTCTCCCAAGTCCTGGGATTAAAGGTGTGTACACCACTTCCCGTCTTCTACGGCTAACTAGTGGCTTAGTTGTGTGGCTAACTAGTGGCTTAGCTCTGCACTCTGATCTTCAGGCAAGCTTTATTTGTTAGATTACAAACAAAATATCACTGTACAGTTTTGGGAGAGACAACCCGCTGGCCACTTCTAAGTACAGTTTGCTTTAATCAGACAGTTGTAGATTGCTTCCCCGCCCCAGGTCTAATACACATCTGGTCTCAAAATTGTTTTTCTATGAATATACCTATATTGTTATTTTACATATGTGGTAATAAACTATAGTATATCAAAAGTCAGGTATTTGTCCTATAGTGTACCATTTAATGCTGACTACACCCAATAAGGAAAGTTTGCTATTACTCTTATAAGTGGGGAAATAGAGGCTTAGTGAGAAAAATTTACTTTGCCAAGGGCACAAATGGCTCCCCTAAACTTCAAGTCATGAACATCTGTTCGAGTTCACTAGCCTACACTGCATCTTATCTGCTATGATAGCAGATATTAGATACTTTATATATCAAGAAACAATCGTCTTACTCTTCTAGTGAGTGCAAATATGCATGTTCACATGTGTTGGAGAACAACCTCGGATGTTGTTCTCTGGAGTACCCCACCCCACCCCTGCCCCCTGCCCTTTTAAGGTTTATTCTTTTATTTATGTGTAAAGGTTGTGTGCAGGTACCCACGGAGACCAGAGAAGGGCATCGGATGCTCTGGAGCTGCAGTGGTGAAGTTCCCTGACTAGGGTGCTGGGAACTGAGCTAGGATCCTCTGCAAGAGCAGCAAGCATTCTTAACTGCTGAGCCATCTCTCCAGTGATCTACTTTGTTTTATTTTCTTAGAGATTTATTATTATGTGTCCTTATGGGTATGTGCACACCCACAGGGTCACAGGCAACGGAACCCTTAGAGTAGCAGTCCCAGGCCTAATGTAGGTGCTGAGAACTGAACTTTGTTCTTTTGTAAAAGCATCTAGCACTCAACTGTTGAGCCATCTCTCTAGCCTGTGTCCACCCTATTTTTGAGATAGGGTATATCAGTGAGACTTGGGCGTTCACTGACTCAGCTAGACTGGCTGGTGAGCAAGCCCCAGGCATCCTCATGTCTCCACCTCCCTGCTGGGATTACAAACCTTGACCATCTTTTTACGTAGGCGCTGAGCATCAAACTTGGGTCCTCATACTTGCTCGGCAAACCATTCACTGACTGAGACATTTCCCCAGCCTCTTCATCTTATTTTTTCAGGTCAACATTGGAGTCCATGAACTTCTGAGGGTATTTGGGAAATGCCCATACTTAGGTTAGGAGGACATTCAAGGCCAGCAGTTCTCAACCTGTGGGTCTTGACCCTTTGGGGGTTATATATCAGATATCCTGTATATCAAATATTTACATTATGATTCATAGCAATAGTAAAATTACAGATATGAAGTAGCAACAGAAGTAATTTTATGGTTGGGGGTTACCACAACATAAGGAACTCTATTAAAGGGTTAGAACATTAGGAAAATGGAGAACCACTGTTCTAGACCTTGGTAAGCTCTCTTTCAGGGAAGATCTCCTAAGTACATCTAGCTTTCCGTCAACAGCAGTCTGAAGAAGTCTCAGTCAACCTCTTGGTGACATGGACTTCCTCAAACCACGAGGTGGCTGTTAGGTCCAAAGGAAACCCCAATTCCCCAAACATCAAACAGAGCCCAAATATCCAGAAATGAACTCAACCTGGACTATAGGAGGATTTCTAGTAGTTATAGATAAACACCAACATTCCTCATGAATTTGTGAAACTGGTTCCCATCTGCTTAAAGGAGCCATTTCCTTTACCTATGGCAGGGGGGACATATGGCTACCTGGGGGGCCTACCAGCATATCAAACCTCATGGATATTACAATTGCCTGTTATAGGTTTCAAAGTCTGAGCTAGCATCATAGCCCTTCTAACCTCCTCCCCTAACCTGCCTTCAGCTCACAGCCTCTCACAACACATAGTTACTGTTCCCCTTATAACCCTGCTCTCCTCACTACCTTTTCTCTACTCTCTATCCTCTGCTGTTCTCCCCTCTCTTACAGACAGTCCTGGCCATGTCCAGGCTACTACTTTCTCTCTCTGCTCTGGACTCCTCCAGATGCCTCTGGCCATTCTCTCATATCTACAATAAAAACCTTCCCCTTAACTATCCTAAAGAGCGGTCATGTCATCCATGTATATAGTGACCATATTTAGTTCTCTTGACCAGTTTTACTGTGGACAGACCTAGGCACTCATTTGCCTCTTTCACAGACTTTATGCATGATGATCTTGTCTGCTGAGACCAGAGGTGATGGAGTCCATGGAATACATACCTTTACAATCTCAGGGACTTGATTTTTGGCCTCCCTAAAGTCAGTATTTATTTATTTTTTATTTATTTTATGTATATGAGTGCTCTATATGCATGTATACCATTATGTCAGAAGAGGGCATCAGATCTGATTACAGCCACCATGTGGTTGCTGGGAATTGAACTCAGGACCTCTGAAAGAACAGTCAGTGCTCTTAACCACTGAGCTATCACTCCAGCCCAAATTCAGTATTTTTTTAAACTGTTTTGTTTTTTGTTTTGAGACAGGGTTTCTCTGTGTAGCTTTGGAGCCTATCCTGGCACTCACTCTGTAGATTAGGCTGGCCTAGAACTCACAGAGATCCACCTGTCTCTGCCTCCCAAGTG